TGAAGGGTCAAGAAGTTACACAGAGACATTTGTTGTAGGATAAAGAAGTAACCCTGGGACACCTGGTGAAGGGTCAAGAAGTTACACAGAGACATTTGTTGTAGGATAAAGAAGTAACCCTGGGACACCTGGTGAAGGGACAAGAAGTTACACAGAGACATTTGTTGTAGGATAAAGAAGTAACCCTGGGACACCTGGTGAAGGGTCAAGAAGTTACACAGAGACATTTGTTGTAGGATAAAGAACACCTAAAGGGACAAGAAGATACTGGGACACCTGGTGAAGGGACAAGAAGTTACACAGAGACATTTGTTGAAGGATAAAGAAGTAACCCTGGGACACCTGGTGAAGGGACAAGAAAATACACAAGACATTTGTTACACAGAGAACCCTGGGACATTTGTTGTAGGATTTGTTGAAAGAAAGAAGTAACCCTGGGACACCTGGTGAAGGGACAAGAAGATACACAGAAGTTGAAGGACAAAGAAGAGACATTTGTTGAAGGATAAAGAAGTAACCCATTTGGGACACCTGGGACACCTGGTGAAGGGACAAGAAGTTACACAGAGACATTTGTTGAAGGATAAAGAAGTAACCCTGGGACACCTGGTGAAGGGACAAGAAGTTACACAGAGACATTTGTTGAAGGATAAAGAAGTAACCCTGGGACACCTGGTGAAGGGACAAGAAGTTACACAGAGACATTTGTTGTAGGATAAAGAAGTAACCCTGGGACACTTGCTGTAAAGGGAGGAGAGGAAACCTGGGACCCCGGTGAAGGGACAAGAAGTAACCCGAGACAACTAGCGAATTAGCTGAGAAGAACGAACCCGGGACACCTGCTGTAAAGGGAGGAGAGGAAATCTGGGAACCCGGTGAAGGGACAAGTAGCCCTCAGACACTGATGAAGGGACAAGAAAATAAAATTTAAATTATACGTCAGAAACAATACAAACGATACACAGAAACAAAGCAAAACACTAGACACAAACTAGACACAAACCGATCAGAAACTAAACAGAAAACATACCAAAATACTGTACGGAAACTGCCAAAACATTGCACATAAACTACACAAAACGTCTACAGACACTATGTTTTACTGAACCATACCTTAGCCAGATAATATTTCGACATAAGCTGTACAACATGTAAGACAAGTGTACATTTTCAATTACAGCTAAAATTACATTGTGTACGTGCAGTGGTAGGCACTCTGTCGTCACACCGATGGAACCTCTCTGCTGCAAGGAGTTTTACTACGCTTCATACAGATCGTCACCAGACCGCTGCATCAAGAAATGGCAAACGCACAAACAACTGTGGGTTACCACTCTAATCTTTTTAGTGATCGAAATAAAACTACAGTAAATATTTAAAACATTTTTTGTGTTAGAGAACTCTTAAGGTTACGGGTCGGGTGAAGTTAAACCTGAAATAAAATAGAAAGTGTTGGCGTTTTAATGTAGGAGGGTTATTTCCCGGTATTTGTAAACTGATATATGTTTCGTCATCTTAGATCAGTTGCAATTTTCTGAGGGGAAAATACTTTTGATTAAAATAATGGTAGAAAGTGCTTGATGAAATTAGCTGCCCAGTAATTTCTGATGAGAAATGTTGTGCCTATAATAATAGGTCAGGTCAAAATCGGCCCTTGTATAACTTCAATTAAAGTAAAGTACTAGTATTTATATCAAAACTGACCTTTTTGTGACGAAACTGAAATCCACATTTATCAAAATTAATATTGTGTTTATTCAGATTACTATGTCATAACAGGATATGATTTACTTGTACCAGGGAGAATAGAAGACGCTGTAGATTATCCCTGCTTGTACCAGGGAGAATAGAAGACGCTGTAGATTATCCCTGCTTGTACTGACACTCAGAACGCGCGCCAAACCATGGGTCAATATGGATGCATTGTGTTCCGCAAGTATGGGAACTGCATCCTTTACCTTGCCCACTCCAACTTAAAACATTTTTTTTTTAACAAAACTCCCTAATCCCAAACGTTTAACGGATGACATATGATATTCTCTTAAACCCCAGATACTACACTGTAACGATACGAACAAAACTTTCGACGTGGTTTGTTTGCAATGTGTATGATAATTTGATTTTATCCTGGTCAAAAAAACATGAAATTTCATAGTTTTTTCCGAATCTGAAGTTAGGAAATTGGAAGAGCCACTGAGGTAGACGGGACCAGAGCACTGCAAATGTATTGATAACCACATCAATCATTGTGGGAGCTGTTCACCCAGTACGGGACTTGGTGACCTTGGCTCCGTCCTTCAAAGTGATGGTAGTGCTGAGACCTTCGTTCAACTCCAAAACTTTAACACAGACTAACGACAGTCATAGCGCCAGTGTTGTTCGGATCCATGCTCTCAGTTCCATAAAGCGAATAAAACGTTTGGTTTGGAGGGACATGGGCCCGATCCACAATGCGTTTAAAGACACAAATCCACACAGCTAGGTTGTGAGTGAGTGAGTGAGTTTAGCTTTACGACGCACTCAGCAATATTATTCCAGCTATATGGCGGCGGTCTGTAAATAATCGTGTCTGGACCAGACAATCCGGTGATCTACAGCATGAGCAATTGGGAACCGATGACATGTGTCAACCAAGTCAGCGAGCCTGACCACCCGATCCCATTAGTCGCCTCTTACGACAAGCATGGGTTACTGAAGATCAATATTCTAACACGGATCCACACGGGTCAACCAACCATGTGTCAACCAAGTCAGCGAGCCTGACCACATGATCCCGTTAGTCGCCTCATAATGACACCAATAACGATTCACTTATTGTATCAGGGCTGCCTGGCTCAGTGTGATGAGCGAACGTGTGAAGTCCATTTCTTGAGTCCCCTGCTGTGATATTGCTGGAAAATGGCTAAAATCGGCGTAAAACTAAACTCACTCACTCACTGATGAGCGAGGCTTGTGCCCACTAGATTACCCCAGTCGTAATGATGGATCTATACTATGTCGTGCTGGTCGGTCCGGGCAAGAATTGATGCCTAGTTTTATAGGACTGTGTTGGAGATTATTGGTAATAGAGTCAGTTTCGTGGAACAAACAAACGTTGGGTGCTGTTTCAGGAGATGTATTGGACCCGCCACACATCTGAATGAGGAATGTATATACATTTCACTTTTTTTCTTCTCTTGCTCATTTGGACAGTTATGTGGCCTACAGTGCGTTTTTTCTATCAGTAAAATTGCACTAATACCACATATTTGGTGCAAAACATTCCAGCGCACTCACAAGTAGTGACATATACTGGGCAAAATAATTTATGGATCAATTTTTGTCTGTTTATACACGAATTATGAAAGTTTAGATTCGGAATATAATCACCCACAGGTCCCTAACTACTTCTGTTTAGTATATCTATAATCTTTAATCCACCTGCTGATTTTGGCGGGGAAATGTAAAACGTAAGCTGGGTTCCGTCTCTTCACATCTCAATCAGGTGGTGACTCGCAGAGAGGGTCGGGCACCAGCTGGATGCTCTCCGCGGCTATGGGTCTTGTTGAATCGATAAGTCTTTCACGAACTAATTAATTTTACCGTACAATGTGCATGGTTGTGTACCCAAGACTGGCACATATTTTATGGGCGCTTCAATATCGCATTGTTGCAATGCAGTGTCCTTCATAAGGACTTGATAAAACTTACGTGATTCTGAATTGTTTACATTGACCCCACTTGCTTTGTCTGACCCTATTAAGGCTGACTTGTGTCAGATAGATATTACAGGAAAAGAGTGTCGTTTAATCTGTTTTTGGCAACATTCTAGACTAACGCTTAGTCACTGAATAATTTTGATAGTAACACATAAGCCCATTTAAATTGAAAAGGAGACCAAGTGAGATGGTAAATTCAGAACCCGAGGAAATCTAGAATTGTTTCATTTAGGGCTTTAGCATTGCATGGAGGGTTAGGCAGTAGGGAAAATAATGTGGTTCGGGGACTGAGAGACAGACTAGCAATATTCCAGCAAGATCACCAGGAATGGGCTTTATACTCAGTACCGGTTCACTGCACCGTGTAAGAAGACATGCTATCAAAAGCTTGTGCAAAATTGAGTCTGTACCGGACATTATATTTTGGAACTAATGATGCAGATTTTTCTTAAAAGAAAAAAAGGGGTAGCGTAATTGTTTGCTGCCATGAAAACAATAAACAAATACCAGAAGCAAAATACAGTCACTCGCGTTGTTTCTTGCTAAATTGTATATTTATCACCTATATTTGGTTTATGTCAGCATCTTACATTTGTGTGGGTTTGCCAAACCATGCGTACACGTGAGCACTATGTTTACAAGTGTGTTTGCCGGTTTGACGCCTTCTTTTAACAATAATTGTTACGACCGCTCTACAGTAATAACTATTTTGTTGAGAATATCTTCAAGATGTGGTGAGTGACGTGACTGATGCTATAGAATATGTTAGCGGAATCTGTTCATGATGCAGCATAAACAATCAGTTGCGTATCCTGGTACTTGATGTGGACTAGGCAGTAGGCACACCATCGCGATGTAAACTCAGATCCATACCACCGGGGATAAGACGATAGACCTCATCTAGATGTCACAGGTCCGGGTTTTTATTGAATATTGAAATCCTTTAACATTTTTAAAAGGTGGAAGTCAGCGGTTCTACCGCCGTCATCACTCAAGATGGTGCGTGTTGTTACCCTGCCCGGCTTTACGCATGTGTACACACACACACACACACACACACACACACACACACACACACGCACGCGCACACACACACACACACACACGCACGCACGCACCCACACACATCTTTGGATCCGCCTATGTGTAATACATCTCATTGAATTCCACATCAACTCCTTTCGTGATGCCAATCATACATAAAGTGGTGTACGAGAAAGGGTGAGTAATGTTTCAGAATAGCGCCGTTTGAAACATTTAAGCTCCAAACAGCGCCTTGACGGCGGAAGTGGGCGGCCACAATGTGTGGAGTTTTTTAGGGCTGGAACGATGGACTTCCAAATAATAACACAGGTCCTTCGAGACCAGTTGGGACATTTGCTGATGACAGTTTCTGAACAGAAGGATCTGGTAATAGACGGTGAACTAACAAAGCCATTTGACAGGTTTGCCGGTATTTCATTCCTGAAGCAGCATGGTGTCGAGAAGATTTTCAAACTTGACCCTACTCAGAAAGTCATTCACGGAAGTGAGAGAAGAATTTACATTGTTCGTGCTAAAATGGTAACCATGAAAGCAATTGCGGATCAAATTAACGCGGAGCTGAATCGGGGAGATAAGCGTCTGTACACCATAGTGTTAGTTCCAAGAAGATTGGAACTTTGTGAAATGATTTTGGAAACTGAAGGCGTTTTGGGATACGTAACTATTGAAGAATTACCACTGGACCTGATACCACTGGATACAGACCTGATGTCTCTGGAATTACCGGACTTTTTCTCTTCATTTTACATTGATGAAGACTACACTTGGATACATACCGTGGCATCTTCTTTGGTCAATCTTGAAAATTTCTTTGGCATTATCCCAGATGTGTTTTGTGTTGGTAAGGGGTCCAAGATGGTGTATGAACTTATGGAATCAATGAGAGGTCTTTCAGGAACCCCACACCCAGCTGACATCAGAAGTCAGATTGGGCAACTGATTCTGGTTGATAGGAATGTTGATTATGTCACACCTCTCTGCACTCCAATGACGTATGAGGCGCTTCTGGACGAAAGATTTAAGATCGAGTGCAGTATTATCAATTTCGGCCATGAAGTCACTGGTAAAACACAAGATGTGAAGCAACTGCTAACTTCTCAAGATGAGGTCTACAGGGTCATACGAGATCGTCATTTCTCAAATGTGTTCACCTACTTGAGTTCCCAAACGAAAGAGTTACAAACTGGTTACGACAAAAAGAAAGATTTGAAAACAGTTGGTGATATGAAGAGCTTTGTTTCAAATGACCTCAAAGATTTGAAGCAACAGCACCGAACTTTGACCTACCACATTGGTGCTTGTGAAGCAATAATGAAGAAGAAGAAAAGTGAGGACTTTGAAGAATACATTAAAGCAGAGCATAGCGTCCTGGAGGGAATTGAAACCAAAGAAAATCTAACATACATTGAAGATAGTCTATGTAGACAGGTTTCCAGTTTGTCACCATTGAAACTACTGTGCTTGCTGTCCTTGACCCAAGGGGGATTAGTGTCTAGCACCTACAAGAGCATGACCAATCAGTTCCTGCAAAGTAAGGGCTTTGAACACATGGTTGACCTGTACCAACTCAAGAGAACTGGTCTCTTAGAAGAGCAGACGACCAGCCAGACTCCGGTCAAACCAAAGTCTCTACCAGGCATAGCCAAGCCATCACAGTTTAGAACACTTGCCAAAAAGCTAAATCTGATTCCAAAGTCACCAGATGACATCAACTTACGGAGTCCTAATGACATGTCATATGTCTTCAGTGGAGCATACACACCACTGCTGTGTAAAGTTGTTGAACAGATTCTAGAACGTGGTGGGCTTGCTGGCATGGAGGAGATAATTAAGCTGATACCAGGTGGCATCATCCGTCATGATAAGACACGACCCAACGGAAGCAAGAGCAAATCTGACACTGTACTTGTTTATTTTCTAGGAGGATGCACCTTCAGTGAAATTGCTGCTCTCCGATATTTAGTGCGACAGTTTAGTCGGAAAGTCGTCATTGCCACAACTGCCATTGTGACAGGAGATTCCTTCCTAAAAGCTGTCCTGCAATGAAATTTTTAAAGAAACTGTTTGACAGTGCACTGTCTGTGGTAAATTATGTTAAATATCTGTGTGTGTAGTAAACATGGAAAAAGAACAAGTGTTCAAAACATTACTTATTCTTTGTCAGTACGACAATGTCTGGAGAGAATGAGTGAATACACGAATCGGCTTTCCATTTTGTCATGACAGCAGAAAATATATAATTGAACATTATTATCCGGTTATGAGATAAGTGTTTTATGAGTTTGTAGTTTTAATACACAAGCATGAATGTGAACGTTGTGAACTGAGCCTGAAGAAAGACTTCACCTTTAGATGTTATTCTAGTACAGTGTGTATCACAGTGATGCTGCTATGTGATATTACTACAAACATATCAAGGATTATCAAACACTGTTAATCTGATGATAATCATTTCATCCTCTGTTACTTAATCTCACTCAGTGAGGATAATGGACACAACATAATCAATGTACCTCAAGACTTGTTTTGATTTACAGAGTTATGACCTAAACTACCAGTAGGTTGAAAAATATTTTCCCATGTTAAGTTATGGCTTTTAATATAATTCATTTATACTGATAGCAGCAGTAAATGATTTGGTTTTCCACTTTTCTATATATTTGTACAATTCATCACAGATGTCTCAGATCATATGGAGAAATAATTGCTGAAACAACCATGCATAATTATAATTATGATGACCTGGGTTTGATTGAGAAAGTGTGAAGTCTATTTCTTCGCAGCATAAAGTCTGTGTCTTATGTGTTTGGTAACATTTCTTTCTCTCTCTAAGAATAAATAGGAGTCAAGAAACATTGTAACATTAAAATGTGAAAAAGACCATTTTGCAAACATTTGGTTTTGAAATGTTGTAAAAAATGATGTTAAACCAAACACACTCCCTCATGTGATAGCTAAGTCACTATTGTGTATGTATATATACAGTGTCAGGTGTGAACTGCTCACACTGGTGTTGCACAGTTACCTTGTATACTAATTCGAAGGTAGAAACAGGTGATCATGTTGATGACATCTGGTATGATGATTATTGTTCCTAAAACAAGTCTGACTTTTCTACAAGTTTAAATGGAACTGTTTGACAGTGCTGCTGGGATCCTACCACCAGCTCTTGCTCCCAATACACCAGTAACCAAGCTTGGTCATGGACTGCTTCTTTAAAGAACAAAACAACAAATATGCTGCATACTAAATCAGACTGATCAGCCTGACGGTACTGTGATATTCCAGATGTACTGATGACAGTTTTCTCTCGTTGACATATGAGTATTATGAGGGTGTGTTGCTGGTTTACATGGACAGTGTTCAGTTCAGCATGATGCATTCAAGGGAGATAATCCCAGTTGTCCTCATGGCTGCCTTTATAAATAGGTTACCCTGCTCCAAAGTACTATCGGAAAACTGGATAATACAAGAATCTGCTACATTCCGCCTTCCTGTTGTAAGCAAATTTAAACTGTTATTCATCATTAAGTGAAATAAACTATCCTCTCTAAATATACTGAGTGTTGATGGGTTTGGTATTTTTGAGAACGGTAGTGGAAAAGGTCTTCTTCAACATGTTCAAGGTCACTTCAGCTGAGACACTGTGAAACAGTTTGGATGCTTATAGTCCTGTGTTAGAGCAGCTTGAAGCTCTGATTTGTACCATAATGACCATTGATGAAGTATGGACACTGTTGAAACAAAGATGAGTCAGAAGGCACAGAAGAGTTTGGAGCGTAAGTCTGAAGGAGTCTTGGGATAAAGCAATCTTTAAAGGAATTGGCTGTCTGTTGCACAGTGTTAGTGCTGCAACACTGAACTGTGGCAGACTGGCAGGACGGACAGACACGATATTCTAGTTTTAAAATGTGAGGCTGTGGACAGGTTTGTGAAGTTCCAGAAGACATGTCAGAGCAAGACCATGCTGTCACTGGTAGGAGCTGGAGGATGGAAGTATCAAGAGTGCCAGAAGACATGTCAGAGCAAGACCATGCTGTCACTGGTAGGAGCTGGAGGATGGAAGTATCAAGAGTGCCAGAAGACATGTCAGAGCAAGACCATGCTGTCACTGGTAGGAGCTGGAGGATGGAAGTATCAAGAGTGCCAGAAGACATGTCAGAGCAAGACCATGCTGTCACTGGTAGGAGCTGGAGGATGGAAGTATCAAGAGTGCCAGAAGGACATGTCAGAGCAAGACCATGCTGTCACTGGTAGGAGCTGGAGCAAGACCATGCAGGATGGAAGTCATCAAGAGTGCCAGAAGACATGTCAGAGCAAGACCATGCTGTCACTGGTAGGAGCTGGAGGATGGAAGTATCAAGAGTGCCAGAAGACATGTCAGAGCAAGACCATGCTGTCACTGGTAGGAGCTGGAGGATGGAAGTATCAAGAGTGCCAGAAGACATGTCAGAGCAAGACCATGCTGTCACTGGTAGGAGCTGGAGGATGGAAGTATCAAGAGTGCCAGAAGACATGTCAGAGCAAGACCATGCTGTCACTGGTAGGAGCTGGAGGATGGAAGTATCAAGAGTGCCAGAAGACATGTCAGAGCAAGACCATGCTGTCACTGGTAGGAGCTGGAGGATGGAAGTATCAAGAGGGCATGGACTCAGTAAATGACTTACCACCAACTGGGTAAAGTGGGATGGAGAAAGATTTGCACATGTATTGTCTGCCAATGACTTTTGAGAATTATTTCGAATCATTGTCATTCAACTGACACCAACATATTCCAAATTGGACCTCCTGAATGAACTAGCAATGAACCAGGAAGGCAAATCGAACCCTGTATAAAGGTATCTGATGACTTTAACAAATATATCTGCAAGTAAGAATTGGAGAAGTACCTTTAAAAACCCAGGTTGTTACGTCAGTGGGAGTAGAGCATTTTCAAAAGGCTTTTATATGTCCTTTCTTCAATTTGAACAACTGCATGCCTGTCTCAGGACATACTCCCAGGGTGAACTTTGGGATCTGCTCTCTGGTCCTGGTCCAGTAATTAAATACATATTCTTCATCAAATGAAAAAAAAAAGATAACAGGAATACAGAAGTATGACAGCTAGTTCGTGTAATCTGTACTGATTTCCATTATCTATCAAATCTTCCTGTTAATGAGATGGAGCAGTAGACAGAATGTTGGATGTTTAAATTTGATCTTTTGTGTCACGTTTGTTTGGCACAAAGAACAGAATCTGATGTAAAACCTTTTGTTATAGAAGAGCATGTTCTTGCGGATTTCAGTAAAATTTTGACAAATAAAGAATCTTTATATTGTTGGCCACAGGAGCAGTATGGATTCTCAGACACGCATCGCTCAAATGCCAGGCTTTAAAACACTACAACCGAGTCACAGTCTGAAATGTGTAATGTTATTAAAACGCGAGTATTGGGGAATCAGCTGGCGTGGCAAGAAGTACCATGTAATAAGCAACCCACACAACAACACAAGGCCTGAGTAAATAAACGACGACGTTATTTGACCGACTGTCGTCCGTATGGGCGAAGTTCACTTTTAATTAGATTAGCTGCCCAGCCTTTATGGGTGAGTGAGTGCGTTAATATTTTACGTGACATCGGCAATATTTCAGCCATATCGTGACGACAGACATTCTGAAATTAAGAATAAATCTTGGAATACATTATAAAAAGCTGTCATCGTAGGACAGTATAACTATACTAGAATATCACAGACGGTATTAAAACTAGTTTGAGAAAATTTATATATCAAGCTATTCATTGACAAACACAATGTAAAGTGGGCTGTGGCCCGTATGACACCGTTGTGTGTGTGGTGCGTGTGATTTCAAAGTATTGATGTAACACTCTTGTGAGTGTCATATACCTTCACCGCAGTCCTGTAACCCACACCTCAATTAATGGCGCAAAGACTGCGGGCAGCCTATCTGACAGATGATCGGTGCCAGAATGATACACCTAATTACATATGATTACAACAACCATTAATAAATAAAATGAGGAATCCAGGGCAATGACATAGACTATCCGGAACCCTATAAACTGAAGGCATATTGTGCAATATCTAATGATAATTAACGAACAAAAGACTTAATCAGAAAAGGATTGCATTTGATCCACATGACTCCAAAATAAAGAATAACATAAAAATTGAATATACAATGCACAAACAAACATTGACTGGTGAAAAAATAGTATTATATAAACTAAAAGTGGGACGGAATTGTCAGCATTGGACGAACTGTTGGTATTGACATTGCGATGTCTCAACGACATCTGGACTGTCAACTGAATTTGATAATACAACTATTGTATATTTATGCTTAAACTTAACACAACAGTTGTTTTGCAATATACAGATATGTCTAAACATATTTATAAAGTTTAGTTCAGAACATAATGTACAGATGCTTAAATTTTGAACAAAGAACTTTTTTTAGAAACATGAAAAATTGTGATCAAACAGCAGGAAACAATAATATTTTATACAAAATTGTCATTTTACCTTCACAAAGCAGGAAAATGCAATTAAATTTTTTAAAAATTCCAGGGGGAGCATGACCCTGACTCCCCCATGATCCTCGGCCGCGGCCACTGAACGTGAACACTGCCTCCTTTTCTAACCCCTCTTCTCATTAAGAAAAGTTAACTACGGCCCTACAGAAAATAGAATGCTGCCCGGATTGAGGTATGGTCATTTCAATCTACAATTCCACCGCTTTATCATTCCATAAGAACATCCAATAGTATGTTTATTGATTCTTCAGAACTTGGTGCTTAATCTGGAAGTGTACGTCGAGTTGTTGCGAAGACTTGATCACCCTGTTTGTTTAACACCACATTTGCAAAATTCCAGCAATCTGTGACGTCGGTCGGTCATGTTCGTACCAGGCAGTGTGCTGATTCATACGCTATAAACACAAGTTGGGGATATTCAACAAAAAGGTGTCACAACTATTGATGTTTCATACTATTTAATATACTATATATGAAAACTCATTTGAAACTCATTTATGTGATTCGACGAGGCATATTCCTAGATATAATCCCAATCTTCCGGAAGTGCAGCGCCAAGTTCGTACCATGCCGTCCAAGGATAAGGGTCCCAGACGATGTTTCCTAGATAGGTCCCAACTTCCGCAAAAACATTGTAGGCAGCGTGGGAAAAGATTTTTTGCCCTGTAGAATAATGGAACAGCCCGAGTATCAAAGAAGAATGGGTGCTTCGTTTGGTAGGGGTAGAACAGGTCAGATCGGTGTATTCACTTCCTGCTCACTGGACCGTATCATGTTGTTTTAACCTGTAGGCAGTTTGGAACTGTAGGCAGTATGGGAATACACCGTGACAAGTCTGGTCAGAGTGCTGGTCACGGTAAGGTGGTTATGGTCTCCCGTTAGAGGTACTCAGTAACTAGGATCCTGTGTGCTCCAGCGTTGCCATCCTTAAACACAAAACACGTCCATGTCGTCCATGTTGGCGCGCAAATGTCACAGACTGTGCCTCCAGGATGTTTCCTTTGCAATACTGACACGTCCGTCCATATCATGTAAAGGTGATCAGACAGTCATTGTCCTACCAGACGCTATGACTGAGCTACCCCCAAAATGACCGTTCTGTCTAACGTCAACGGCACTGAAACGCTCATTCCATCTAGGCCACTTTTGGTGCTCCTTTAAAGGAATGCCCAAGTAAAGCTTGACTCGTCCGAAAACAACGTTTGCCCAACGAAGATTGGTCCAGCGCTGAAGCCCTTGACACCAACCTCGTCTTACAGTGATGTGACGGTCCGTCGTAGGATAACTGACGTCGTTCACGAAGGTTCCACCTGTGTAGCCGATTACGAAAAGTCTGTCTACTTATTATAATACTTGTAGCTCACCTCCAAGTTTAGAGGCTCACATTTTCGTAACAAAGTCGTTCTGATGAAACGGTCTTGTGGGCCATTCGTCTTCATAAAGCTGGAACATTGCTGAGTGAGGCGTTAAACAGTGAACACTGAGTGCGGCGTCAACAGCAAATAAACGAACAAACAAGTCCTGACGTGACTGAGGGCGCATGTCAAAAAACGTTTAGTTTATGACAATATCAAGACAACGTTCCGTCTGGTTATTATCTTTGAAATGTTCAGCAACACATTGACACGTTTCACTGTCAATTTCAAATTTTCATGTTCATGAAAAACGTTTACTCGAAACTGGCGTGTAAAGTCACAATTTACAATGGCCAGACTTTGGGCATAATTGTACCTATGGAGCCACGACCCATCTCCACAAAGCCATCTTGGAGCTATGCTGAAGGTCGATACAATTTTAGTAACGATAACATATGGAACGGACCCATCTCGTTTGGAGCACACATTGACTGACTGACTGAGTTTGGTTTTACGCCGCTTTTAGCAATATTCAAGCAACATCACGGCGGGGGACACCAGAAATGGGCTTCACACATTGTACCCATGTGGGGATTCGAACCCGGGTCTTCGGCGTGACGAGCCAACGCTTTAACCACTAGGCTACCCCACCGCCCCAGAGCACACATTGTAGTTTGTTTCGTATATTTGTTGTTTTATTATTCATATTGCTAAGCCATATTCCAGCTATATGGAGGAGGTCTGTAAATTATCTAGCAGGGACAATCCAGTGATCAATAGCATGAGCATTGATCGACACAACTGAATACGATGACATGTGTCAATCAAATCACCAAACCTGACCACCCGATCCCGTGTGTCGCCTCTTACGACAAGCAAGGGTTGCTGAAGACCTCTTCTCATTCATGCATGAGGAAACAATTATTTAAATCATATCTGCATTCACATGAATAAACACTAGAGTTATCTGCGTACCAAAAATGCAATTAACATATGCACGTTTGTATTCATTTGAATATTATTGGAGAATGCTAAATTTGTTTTCAGATTTCAAAAGCGAAATCAAGGAATTTCAGTTTCATGTTAAACGCATACAGTGCATTTCTACCTGTCGACGAAGTATATCTCGAACAAGGTTGTGTACTGTGTATCATCAGAGACCCTCTATATGGTCTCCATTATCTTACAGCATTTTTAATACTGATCTTGAAATATGCAGGGATCATGGACTTTTCATTATGATAGATACATTTTAGATAAAACCTGATGTCAAATCTGCATGATAAAATTTGAACCCGTGATCGAAATGCTTAATATCAATGCGTTGATTCCTATTTTGGTCATGTGCTGTTTTTGACGTAAGCGCAGTGCACATTGAAGCGTTCCAACGCCACGAAAAGAAGATGGCTGCCTCCAGTAGATATTCAGTGACATCAACTTGTGCAATGATTGTCAGCGTTTCAGTTGTCTCTTCCACCACAAACCAGATCACTTCCTTCGTGGATTAACTTACGTGAGTACAAGTAGTCTGACTGATAAATATGAATGCAAAAAATACCTACAGATGTAGAAGTCAGTAATGTCATTTGTGCTACTTTTGCAAGTTTTGGCAGTTTGGTTATTTATAATGTATGTATTAAATATATTATTACAGCTTAAATTTATTCTGAGTGATATTGTAACTGGGATAATCTTAATGAATTCATGCCTGCCACAATATGAGTGGCAAGCCTGCTGTTGTTGGTTAGAGGGTTGAGGCTGCTTCACTGATGATACACTTCAGTCACAACACCAAGTGTCAAAGTCTTCTCACTGGATAAGCTAACCACGTTAACATGTTAAAATCTCCGATTTGTTGCTGTTGCCGTCATCTGCATGTATGTCCCAGCATTTTAATACTAGTCCAGAGGATTATTGAACACCTTATTTATAGTTTGTCCAGCTTCAATGAGACAAATATGTTTAGGCCTACTTTGTTTACATTTCTGTGTGTCATATTTGCAACAGAATTGAAGGCTTGGGATTTAGTTCATAATATAACATCCTAGATTAAACATCTAGTCTCTGAAATGAATATATTTTACAGAAAAAACAGTTCCTAAATTATGATCATAAAATATAATAAAATGGAGACTTTCTTCATTTAAGAACTGGAAATCTAGATTTGCCACATAATCTAGACTTGCATGTGATATCTTGGATATGGCATTGTGTATTTATATTCATTTACAGACCACTACCATAGAGCTGGAATATTGCTGAGTGCGGTGTAAAACTAAACTCACTCACTCACTCACTCACTTAATCAGGAAAGTCTGTAGGTACATGTATGTTTTGTTTATTATGTGCATGATAAATGAAATAAGCCTGTTAATCTGAGATGTGAGATATTTAGGAAATACATTTCTCTTTTTAAAAAACACTATTATGTTAGGTGTATGCACTCAGTTTGCTGACTAGTGAAACTAAAATTTATGTACAGTGTTAAAACCATTGTATTTCATTTTGCATGGCTTGTCAAATAGGCTTATCCACTGAAGAAATGGTGGGATAATTAGAAGATAAAGCTACTCTGTTTTCAATTTTGTGGTCCTTTATCGTTGATTTAAGACTGCTAAATGTAATTTAAAACCGTACGACGCGTGAGGTTTTAAATTAAACATTTAGCGGTCTTAAATCAACGATAAAGGACCGCAAAATTGAAAACAGAGTAGCTTTATCTTCATTCTAGCACGACTGATAAGCGTTCGAAAATCGAACTGTTTGGTGCTCAAGAACACAAGGCGTGAAGGGGCCTTTTTCCCAGAAATCGCTTGGAATCGTCCCATTGAGGGACAGGTTTTGTAATGAACAAAATAAGACATTTTCAACAACATAAAAGCTTTATTTCAGGAACCAGTATGCTTGTATTTGTAGCAAGTAGCATACATAAATATAAAAAAGTACAGTTTATAATGTGAGCAAGTACAATTATTTGATTTTTCTCAAGCGAATTATTGATCTCACCTACTGTATGACAATCGACTCGCCCCAATTCAAGCCGTGAACTCGCTAAGTTTAGTCGCCGCTAACTTTATTCACAGAAATAATTGTTGATAACCACCCTTCTATTCCAAATTTGGAAAAGACCTGACATGCCACGTTTTATGTGGGATACGTGGACAGTGGAAGTGGAAGGACTGGGCATTACGGCCGGGACGGAAGCGGTCAGGTTAAGAAGTGTGGGCCGACGTGTGTTGTTGACGTGTTGCTAGATCTTGACCCGGTTTGAATATACTGCCTCTTTTGCGCTGCTGACGGATTTTCCAGCTTCGTAGTTTCTTCACTGGGATTAGGGTCAAGAAATTCTTCTTTAAACCATTCGCTTTTTACTTCAAAAACACCAAAGATGCTGCCGAGGTAGAAATTGCCGATGTCCGACATGTTTGTTTACAAACAATAGGGTCAACGAGTTCGTTGTATTCATACGTGGTGAATCGGTCACTTTAATTAGCGGTCTTAAACTGCCATTTAAGTACGGTTTTGATGAGCTCTCAACCAATCAGAACCGAGTATCACACAATGTCATGCTAGAATCAATCATATATGTTGAGGTGGCCTGAATGGACTATTTAAGTTGAAGTTTTCCATCCAACCTGAACTAAATCAGTCTTTTGATTTTTTCAGTGGTACTCCTACAATTATGGCTTTTTGAACATTTGGAGATGTCTGCCCTGTGAGGGCGTGGTGAGGCGGGGGCCGAGGGAGAGGGATGCTGGAAAGGCAGGCCGTGACAGAGGTTTATTGGTCGGGAGAACGTGACCAGCATCAAGAGGGGAAGAGCTGTTGGCTACAATAACAAGAAACTTTGTGTCCAGTATTTCATCGAAGAATAACTTGTGATTTATTACGTTCTGGCTCATTAAGGACTGTTGATTGAATAGTGTAAAATTTCTGTCTATTTTGTATCATCAAATCATTATTTACAATGTCTTGGTTGTTTGAACCTGAGTGTCGACCAAAATGTCGATCAAAAAGACATGCTCTGGAGTTCCATTCATCAATCTCAAAAGGAACCCTCAAAGAAGTAAAGGCATATTCACGTCTCTGTCACAATGTGACCAAGGTCAAGGACACCGTGGGGAGGTCAGCTCTACACATGGCAGCTGCATGTGGAAAGTCAGACATAGTGGAATGGCTGTTGACAGAGAAACAGGGAGACATGACTGACAAGGACTCTGAGTCTGGGTGGACAGCACTACATCGGGCTCTGTTCTATGGCCAGTTACCTGTAGCCAGACAACTTATACAGGTATGAAGGCAGGGGATGTGTTAGCAACAATGCTGGAAGTAACATACAACAAAGTTATCATAGGACTTTGAACTTACTTAAGCCCTGTCCCACAAAACCTAAGCACTGAGAAACTCCAAACTCCCATACTTTAGCATGTTTAGTATTGGCATATGACAGAACTGAGACTGCGGATTGTGGAAGGGATCTTGTAACAATGTATAGATGACTTTGGGAGGTAATTTAAACAGGTGATGACATCTGCCCCTTTTGATGTAACTCAAAGATGAACTTTGCTGCAGTACTGACAGCACTTTTGATCATCCAACAAATCATCCTAGAATTCCCAATATGGGAAGAATTTGTGACCCCCATACACTTATTACCATAGTATTGCTAACAGTACATTAACTCATGTGTGCTGAAAGGTGAGCTCAGACAACAGTTATGTGCAGTTTGCACAGGTATGGTACTTATGTGTGAGGGACAGCTGCGACCACATGTGATGTACTATTCAGCATAAAATATACTTACTTTACCAGATCAAATATGTATGAGTTGTAGTGAGTTTGTGGTGGTGTGTGGTCCTGTGTGTAGAGCTCAGGTCACAATCAGTTGAAGTTAAGCAACATTTGGTGCGGAGAGTCCTTGGATGGGTGACCATGTTTGGCAGCTTGACTCCTGAGAGTTTCTAGGACATCAGTCCTGCCCCACAACAAGGCATATGTGATACATGTGGTCTCACCTTAGGCATGTGAGTTTGTTCCAACCTGCCTCTGTCCACCCAGCAGTAGAATTGGGTACCTGGTATGATACGATAGTAGTCTAAATTTGAACCTTGACAGGCAGCCGGATGTATTCTCCACAGTGAGTGTTCTGTACTCTTTAATCAGGGGTAATATGTCAGCGCATGTGCGTGGATAAATGCGCTATATATACTCCTCACAAAAAGTTAAGCAACAAGTATTTTTTTCCACATATTTTCTTCATGGGTATATGAAGTTATTACTTGGCATATAAGCCATGCAGGAGAACCCTTTACGATTGATGAACTTAAAGCATTTCCCATATTGTTTTTCTGATAACATTGTTAGCACCGCCTGAACGCAACCACCCTCAAAACTCACATGCAAAATGCATGGAACACATGTGCTATACACGTCGCACATGCGTTCTGATTGCGTTAAAACTGCCAGCAACGACAAATTGTTGACAGTAACATTTGAGAAATGGCTAGGCGTCACTTGACACCAATTGAAGTTGCTCAAATTGTTGGAATGGTGCAGGGGTCAGACCCAGAGTGCTGTTGCCAACCATTTCAATGTTCATCGGCGTCATCTCCAGAGCGATCACTTTCGTCCACCAACAGACCGGATTGATGACTGAGAGACCACGCTCAGGTCGTCAAGGGTGACAACTCCCAGAGAGGACCGATACTTGGCCACCTAGCCCGGTGAACAGGTTCACCACAGCCAGATCTCTCCCAGAATGACCTCCAGAGAGTTGCTGGGAACAGAATCTCCACACAGACAGTGAGGAACAGACTCCATGCTGAAGGTCTCAGGTCCCGGCACCAGTGCAAGCGTATCCCACTGCCTGCACACCATCGTCAACAGAGACTGAATTGGGCTAACCAGCGGCGTAACTGGAGAGTCAATGCGCTGGCGTAATGTTCTCTTCACAGATGAGTCAAGATTCTGTCTGGACTTCAATGATGGTAGGGCTCGTGTGTGGAGAAACCGTAGCGAACGATCACCAACTGTCATGCGATTGCTGAACATGATCAGTATGGAGGTGGGAGTTTGATGATCTGGGCAGGAATCCAAGTTGGACTGACGAACTGATCTTGTGGTCATCAGGCGAGGTACCATGACAGGTGTGAGGTACCGAGGCGAAAATTGTCACACCTGTGATCATTCCGTGGGCTCAGCAAGCAGGTCCTAACTTCATCTTCATGGATGACAATGCCCGTCCACATCGAGCAGAGTTGTCACTGATGTTCTTCAGACCAACAACATCACCCATATGGACTGGCCTGCAAGGTCTCCTGACCTGAATCCTATTGAACATGCTTGGGACATCCTCGGGCGTGTATGCGGCTCTCGCGTTCCTCCTCAGACTCTGGATCAGCTTGAACAGGCATTGCGGAGAGAATGGCAGAACATTCCACAACAGACTCTAGACAGACTCATCTGGTCAATGCCTAGAAGCGTCTTGAAGCGTGTATTCAGGTCAATGGTGGCCATACACGTTATTAAACTTTTGGATCAGTGCTCAAAACTGACAGTAAAAGTGTTTTCAGACATTTTCATACCCTGATGCAACACATTTTGCACGGCTTTTTCAGTGACACTGTTTTTGATGATTTGCAAGTCAGTTATTGTTCAATGAATTTTGATTTCTTTGTTGGAAAAGTGTGTGGATATGCTTTATCTTTGTTATGTTTGATTCAGTTGTAATGATCATGAGTAAAGGCATATGTACTGACCAAAAATACACTTGTTGCTTAATTTTTTGTGAGGAGTATAAATGGACTATTATTGTAATGAATGATACCCATCTTTAACTGTCCCCATTCTTCAAGTACAGTAGAATCTGTTGAAACCAGACTAGTGCGAGCCCAGGATTTAAGTCTAGATTAGACAGCAGTCCAGATTAAACAAAAATCTGCTTCCAGTACAGTATATTTTGTTGATCTTGCTAAGTATGTTGAGCTGTTTTTTCATTGACAAGTTCATTTCATGGCAGACACTGTATGATGTTATGTGAGGTGTTTTTGTGTGAGAAATGAAACTGTCTGTGTTTCAGCATGGCACTGATCTGTACACCCGCGACCATGAAGGATTGTCTGCCCTTGATATTGTTATGAAGGACAAGCCCAGGCAAATCACATACAGTTTGAAAGGTATAGTTGTTTCTAAATGACTGCACTAAAAGGCAGCAGCTATCACATTTGGATTTCAACAAGGTTATACCAACAAGTAGTAGATTCTGGCAGTATATAGTTCTCGTATCAATTGTCACCAATGAAGATTTTTTGTCAGAGTGGGTATCTGGTATCAGAGTGACATTCTTATAATATTCTGACTGTTGCAAAAATATACTAGACAACGGGATGTTATATATATATAACAACATGTTTATATGGCAGCACAATATGCGCAACTATCATGGGGATTCAGAATCTGACAATTGTTTTATCAGTGTTAATGAAGTACAAGGAGACTTACTTCGCATCCATTGAAATTTCACTTTCAGAGGCCAAATGTATCTCTGAGCTGAGACCATTCTCAGTCTACATTGTTAACACTTGGTAAATCAATGGGAGAAAAGTTAGCATGGATTGAGGAGTAGAAACCATTGATGTGTCCTCTGTCACACAATTTCACCCCGAAATCTGTTGTGAAGAAGTATAGATAAGGCAAATTTGACGTGTCTATAGATGAAAACAGTAAATTGGTTTGTAGACAGATTGGCAGATTCAACAAATTCCGTGAATTGCTATAATATTTTCTGTGGGATAATATATAGAAGTATTTGCAAGTGTATTTACTCACGTTTCAGAGCCTAATGAGGTATATGCATGGGGAGACAACCCAAACTTCAACCTGGGCCATGCTAGTGGTCAGTCCAGATCATTTCCTGAAGTTATTGATGAGTTCAAGAGGACAGGAGTATCACTTAAAGATGTAAGATCTACTGACATCAGTGTCTACCAATAATGTCTATGATTATATATTTGAAAATGAATTTCAATAATACATTGTTCTTGAATACAAATTGAACCTATTTATGAAGAGATAAGTCAGAAGAAACTTTAGCACTTAATGATCTTCACATTGTGACAACTATATGTCTGTGCTAAGGAGTGGAACAAGCACACAGTTGTATGGTTACAGGCGGCTTGGACCTTCAAGGCCATAACTTGGCTGGGTTACTGTGCTGTAGAACACAAGGCCATAGGTCAGTGGTATATCTGTTACATTTAGGACTGTAGAGGGTCACATTGTTGAGATAGGATGAATATGTAAGATACAGATTCCTTCTTGAAAGGGAATAGATAGAGAATGAGAAGAAGCAGTCTTGATGTAATTTCTGAAAACAGATTTGCAATAAGTGTGATCTAAGTGTGGTGTGAAGCTTCCTGGAAGTTTTATACAGAGAATATATACAGGTTTACTGCAGACAGTTGGGGCGGTGGGGTAACCTAGTGGTTGAGGTATTCACTCATCACTCTGAAGATCCAGGTTCGATTAATTTCCAAAGGAATGGAATAAATTGTCACATTTTCCGTTAATTTCTTCTCATCACCAGTTTCCTCCTTGGCTTCATTTGCATTTTATCAATCTTGTAAATCCAAATTTTTAAACTTATCCTATCTCACGACTTGCACCTCTCTCTCTTCATTCGACCATGAGTGGAAACGAATTAAACTTTGCTCCAGGCCTTCCTTGTCCCTGTCCCCGTGCTGTGCATGCCTTCCTGCCTTAGCCATGCTCACTAGGCCGTGACAGCACGTGCCATGCTAAGTCCTCACCCACGTGATCACCTTCCATACTCATTCTCTTTCTTGTTGCTCGACAGAGTGGACGTGAATTTTTTTTTCATCTGATAATTGCTCAACATGGTTAAGCCTGTTCAGGCCAGAAACAAAGTTTTGCGCTCAGCGTAATAAAGTTTTTTCAGCTTGGGACCCGCACACATCGTGTGTTGATTATGTGGGTTGTGATTAGGACGAACGTTGTCCTAAGTGTTCAGGACTGTTTAATGAGGATTTTAAAGCTTACAAACGTGCTTGTGCCAGACGTTTGGCAGATAGGGCCAGGAATGCTTATGCGGGATCTGGTCCATCTCCCGCTAAAAACAATGTTTACATCGCCCCACCCTACCTGCTCGCCGTTCTAAATCTCCTGTCTCTCTTAACGAAGATTTTATGGACGCTTCGTCTGATTCCTATTTGTCTGAGAATGTTAAAAGGTGTTTGGGACGCTTTCCTCGCCTAGCTCCAGTTCTCATGGGCATGCACTGACTGACTGACTGAGTTTAGTTTTACGCCGCTTTTAGCAATATTCCAGCAATATCACGGCGGGGGACTATGGGCATGCAAGGGTGGTAATGACTGATATTTCCTCTACACAAGACCTGCGATCTACTTCATCTCGTAGATCCTCGAAAACTTCTAAATCCAAGCATTCATCATCGAAGCGTGGATCGGCGTGGTTGGAACATAACCGTTCTCCTCTTCGTACGGTTTCATCCCACTGAAACAATTCACCCACACGAATTGAGTCACCATCTGGTTCGGAGGTTCGAATTTGTTCTTCTACTGCTGGGAAGTGTCGTTCTAGATCTCGTTCATGCTCGAGCTTGTCGTCCTTCCAATGTACCAGTCCGAACCGATTCACCACCTCGATTCATTTCACCAATCAGAATTGGGTCTAATGCCAGTGTTGGTTCACTAGAACGGAACCATTCACCTAGCCGTGTCATTACCAAGAGTCGAACTAGTTCACTCAGCGGAGCCGGCTCACCAGACCGTGATCATATGGGTTCACCTGACCGAACTGATTCACGTGATCGAATGGATTCACCAGACCGAACCGTTTCGCCATACCGAATGGATTCACCACACCGAATAGGTTCGCCATACCGAATGGATTCACCACACCGAATCGGTTCGCCATACCGAATGGATTCACCACACCGAATCGGTTCGTCATACCGAATGGATTCACCATACCGAACTGTTTAGCCATACCGAAGGGATTCACCACACAGAATTGGTTCGCCATACTGAATGGATTCAACACACCGAATCGGTTCGCCATACCGAATGGATTCACCACACCGAACCGTTTCGCCATACCGAATGGATTCACCACACCGAATCTGTTTGCCATACCTAATGGATTCACCACACCGAATCGGTTCGCCATACCGAATGGATTCACCACACCAAATTGGTTCGCCATACCGAAGGGATTCATCACACCGAATCGGTTCGCCATACCGAAGGGATTCACCACACCTAACCTTCACGTTGAATGCAATCAATTGAACATCAGGTATCTTGCTCTAGGTAGCTGTAGGTGGTCGGCGAACCATGCGATCATGTTTGTCGAATCAACCATAACCATTCCTGCCTCTTATAGTCGACTGGCGTAGCCCAAACCATGAAAACAAAGACAAGGTTCGATGTGGGTTAAGTGTCTTGGAAGGCATCCCAGACACATTTGGCGTAGGAATAGGAATGGTTTTGGTTGATTCGACAAACATGATCGCATGGTTTGCCGACCACCTACAGCTACCTAGAGCAAGATACCAGATGTTCTATTGATTACATTCAACATGAAGGATCGGGACTTGTCAACACTGGTTTTCCACATCCTCAACGAGGTTCGTGAACTTGCATCTAGATAGGGCCAAATTTGTCGAACTCTGCTAGTTTTCAACACGATCATAGTTTTCAGGGCATCTGTGAGGCGCTGAATTCCTCATTACGAAGTGGCAAGCTCTAAGCTCACCAATTTGCTTTGTTTATCCGGTTTACCTTAAGGCTTGTGAGGTGCTTAATGTTATTAGTCACATAACTTATCCCACCGTGTACCCCTTTTTCAGATGGTTGTACAGAGGTAGTAGCTATGTGCTTCACCATGCCGAATTGATTTACATGTGATGTCAGTAGCGCTGTCATCTAGAGATATCATGCTCGGCACTTGAAGGTCTGATGATCCCAGTTCTCAAGAGTCCTCCTTGACCGGGGCTCATATCATTCCAGATTTAATCTACCATCCGATCTTCACCTTTGATGAATGATTTGGTTCAACGATTCTACCCTTCGGTGTAGATATCAGTTCTACAACCACCCGATATGGCATAACTAGATATGCTTGCTAGCCAGGAATACTTTACGACGCTCCGATGAGTCTTGTTACTACAGACTACTGGTAACAGCGTGTTTGTGTATCGCTGGGTGCAATTGTTGCAGATGGTTCGTCATCTTCAGCTCCCTTTGTTTTACATGATAAGCAAGTTTCAGCATAGCTCAGCCCGAATTTATGGGTTGCGACTCGCCCGGTTAACCGAAGACCATGTTGTCCGTTTTTTTGTCACTTGTGTGTAACGTTTGCAAATGGCGGACTACTGTTTGTTTACCGGAATTTTGATGATTAGAGTGACTATGAAGTGCCCTTGCAGACTTGTCTTGGTCCCACGAATCGGATACCAAGTCCAGCCTTTAAATGCTAGTAACAATGAACGCTGCCATTCCCGGTAAGAGTGAATGTGTCGGGATTTTGACAGCCAGTCGAGAGAGACTGCTAATCGAGGGTGACAGACAGAAACACCCATGAACGGTTTGACTAGTTCAAGCTCTGAGTTCAGATGTCACTGCAGTTATGCAAGGACTGTCACCAGGCAGTGATCTACTACCTTTATCACTCCACCTGGCGCACCATTATTTTGTTCGGCCAACCGAAACGTTCCTGAGGTTACCGATCGTACGAATTTCTACAATTCGTTTACAATGTGAACGTTCCTGTAGATTGGCTGACAATCTCCATGCGCCGAACATACTACATTGAGCACTCCGTCAGAACTGACGTAGTTGCTCGACTTATTGAACGTTCTTATAACAGGAGATATCTTTTTGTCAGAGGCAAGAGTGGTTAGACCTCTCATTTCCCTCGACCTGCGAGGGCCGTTGGGTAGCCTAGTGGTTAAAGCGTTGGCCTCGTCATGCCGAAGACCCCGGTTCGATCCCCACTTGGGCACAATGTGTTAAGCCCATTTCTGGTGTCCCCCGCCGTGATGTTGCTGGATTATTGCTAAAAGCGGTGTAAAACTAAACTCAGTCAGTCAGTCAGTCAGTCCCTCGACCTGTGAGACGCCTACCTTCACATCCGGATACATGCAGACTATCGGAAGTATCTTCGATTTACTTTCAAGGGGCGTCATTGATACCAATGGAGGGTCCTGCTGTATGGGCATATGTGCGGCCCTGTGGCTTTTTACTCAGATACCCATTCCGATAACAAGCTACCTGCATTGTCGAGGCGTGACATTTGAGAACTATATCGACGACTGTGTTCAAGCCCAGCAGGATCCAGTCGTCCTTCCTCTCCACAGGCAGTTCATCATCAAGTTGCTCTCGCAATTAGGATGGCTGCTAAATTCGGAGAAATCAGAGGTAACACCGACCCGATGATTTCTTTTAATTGGGACAATATTCAACACAACATGTCAAAATGTTTGTGCCCCAGGAGAGGTGGGACAAGATTCAGTGCAACGCACCACTAGTGCTGGTCCAACCCACACCTTTTCGCCAGTGGCAGAAGTTACTAGGGTGGTTGACGTCGTCACAAGCACTGACTTACAGGGGCCAGCTGCAGCTTCGCCCTCTTCAGATGTTTCTGTGCCCATACATCGGGGATGACAACCCCAGGGAGTTGATTCGTCTTCCCACACAACTACATTCAGTCTTTCGTTGGTGGCTCAACAAGTGGAATGTTTGTGTTGGAGTCTCTATGGTGCCCTTCATACCGACTCAACACCTGTTCGTTGACACATCTTTCAAGCTGGGGCGCTCACTTTCTCCATCAAGTGGCCTAGTAGTGGTCATCAGGAGAAAGGGCCCTTCATTACAATGAATTGGAATTCAGCACTGTCATTATCGCCTGTTCGGCAGTCGGGACAACCATCAGCTTCAGCGCAGATGATCACCAGTTGCGATCATTTCTGCTTTGTGTACAATCTGAATTAAATTCTGAATTTTATTTCTGATTTGTGTCTTCGATTCTTCTGGGACTTGTGAGTTTTCCGATACAATTACCCTTTCACCCTCCACAGGACGGTGTCTGTGGGGGTTGTTTCAAAGCAGGGGCTGGTCCGATACTGGTCGTCAGACCTTGGAAATCGTGGTAAAGCTGCGTCCTTTCACTTTTGTGAAGGTAGTGACTGAACACCACATTGCTCGGGAATCCCGGTCCCTGGAGCACTTGTGCTTAGTAAGTCAATGGGTTCGCATGTCTCGCTTTTGAGACGCTGGAGGGTCGCCACCTCACTTACTGTCCTCTGCTCCATGGAGTAATTACGTCAGTGAAGTGAGACTTTTATTACGGGGGTACCTTGGAAATCGTGGCGATGCGACTGATTACACTCGCTAAGCTGCGTCCTTTCACTTTGTGAAGGTTGTGACTGAACACCACATTGCTCGGGAATCCCGGTCCAAGGGAGCACTTGTGCTTAGTAAGTCAATGGGTTCGCACTAACCCTCACATGTAGTAACTTTGGTAGTTATTGGCCTGCCTTGTAGTTGCTTCCTACAGTTGTTTTGGCATAACGCTTAGCTGTTATCGCTTTAACTTCGGGTAATCTATGACCCGCCTTCCTACCGTGGGATAAGTGCAAGTCGTGAGATAGGATAAGTTTAAAAATTTGGAAATTTTAACTATAAATTGAATATTTTATTTACTTATCCTATCTCACGCGATAAAGTCCCACCCTACCTCCCCACTACTTAGATTACCACCGCTCCGGTTTTGTCCTTTTATGGCTCCAAGATCGAGAATGAGTGTGGAAGGTGATCACGTGGGTGAGGACTGCGCATGCCACGTGCTGTCACGGCCTAGTGAGCATGGCTAAGGCAGGAAGGCATGCACAGCACGGGGACAGGGACAAGGAAGGCCTGGAGCAAAGTTTAATTCGTTTCCACTCATGGTCGAATGAAGAGAGAGAGGTGTGCAAGTCGTGAGATAGGATAAGTATATAAATATTCAATTTATAGTTAAAATTTCCAATATCCCCTACTTTTTTTTAATGGTATATGATGGAATCACGTGTCCAAAACAAAACAAACAAAGAATCTTTAATGTATTTGGTGTAGTATAGTTGGGTGGCTCACTGACAGTGTCCTGTGTTCCAGATGGTTCTGTGCAAGTATCACACTGTGTTCCTGTCCCAGTCGGGGGAGGTGTACACCTGTGGCCACGGACATGGCGGCCGTCTCGGACATGAAAACGAATTGCCATGTGTGGTAAGTCATACACCAGACTCATTTGACTGGAGGTTTTCTTTTAGATTTCATCACTTTCATTACACTTGACAAAGGATAGAACCCATTTGTTTTGTTTTGCTTACTGATTCTGATTATGTATATACTTCCTGTCGAGGTGGGGCGGTAGGGTAGCCTAGTGGTAAAGTGTTGGCTTGTCATGCCGAAGACCCGGGTTCGATTCCCCACATGGGCACAATGTGTGAAGCCCATTTTCTGGTGTCCCCCGCCGTGATGTTGCTGGAATATTGCTAAAAGCGGCATAAAACTAAACTCAGTCAGTCAGTCAGTCCTGTCTAGGTCTGCATGATTTCATTTGTATTTGCTTGCTGCTTGCCCTGGCTTGGTTCCACCCATGAAAGATGTGTCCTCAGCCTCACCATTGCTGTTGGGGCAGCGAATGATTTAGGAACTCATGGGGATTCTGGGAGAGAATTGGTTGCCAGCAATCTATGCAGGCAGTGACAGGGAACTAAGGTTGTCAGCGTGGTAACTTGGTTGCTGATGTGTTTATGTACCCAACATTGTGAGTCATTGTTCATAATATCAAGTTAACAACAACAAAACAATCAGTAAGTACTGTGTTGTTAGGTGCCAATGATGGTGACGACTGTGAGGCATGAGACATGTGTGCAGATAGCTGCTGCCAGGGACCACACAGTAATGCTGATGGAGAGGTGAGTTGTTGCTGTTGATGTGCTCAGTACATATTTGCTGCCACCAAACTATTCAGGAAATTTTAAATATGATGAATAACTCTTAACCTCTACAAATCTACTTTTAGCCTACCTTCCAATAAGGTCAGGGTTATTATATTGTCAGCCACTGGCCTTGACTTGACTGTTATGGGTCATGTCTTGATCAAGGTCCGAAATTAAACCATTGTGAGATTGTGATTTACCTCAATCCGTGTGTTGCAACTAGAATACTTGTTATGTACTAAAATTCATGTCCATGCTGTGTGTATCATGTGTTTTACTTTGATACTTCAGTGGAGCAATCTTCACTTGTGGACTAAATACCTTCCACCAGCTGGGTCTGTTCCCACCACCTGACAAATCTGTGAAACCCAGACCGGTGAGTTAGTGCTGAAACTTAGACTTCTCCCTTTAACATAGCACTGTTATTACCCTAGGTGTCCAAGTGGCAATACTGCGGTAATCATCACTGCCACATGGCGCTGTTATTACCCTCAGTGTCCAAGTGGCAATACTGCGGTAATCATCACTGCCACATGGCGCTGTTATTACCCTCAGTGTCCAAGTGGCAATACTATGGTGATCATCACTGCCACAATGTGCTGTTATTACCCTCAGTGTCCAAGTGGCAATACTACGGTAATCATCACTGCCACATGGCGCTGTTAATACCCTCAGTGTCCAAGTGGCAAGACTGTGGTAATCATCACTGCCTCTCATAATCACTGCCACATGGCGCTGTTATTACCCTTGGTGTCCAAGTGGCAATACTACGGTGATCATCACTGCCACAATGTGCTGTTATTACCCTCAGTGTCCAAGTGGCAATACTACGGTGATCATCACTGCCACATGGCGCTGTTATTACCCTTGGTGTCCAAGTGGCAATACTACGGTGATCATCACTGCCACAATGTGCTGTTATTACACTCAGTGTCCAAGTGGCAATACTGCGGTAATCATCACTGCCACATGGTGCTGTTATTACCCTCAGTGTCCAAGTGGCAATACTACGGTGATCATCGCTGCCACATTGGCGCTGTTATTACCCTAGGTGTCCAAGTGGCAATACTGCGGTAATCATCACTGCCACATGGCGCTGTTGTTACCTTCAGTGTCCAAGTGGCCATACTACGGTGATCATCGCTGCCACATGGCGCTGTTATTACCCTCGATGTCCAAGTGGCAATACTACGGTGATCATCACTGCCACATGGTGCTGTTATTACCCTCGATGTCCAAGTGGCAATACTACGGTGATCATCACTGCCACATAGCACTGTTATTACCCTAGGTGTCCAAGTGGCAATACTACGGTGATCATCGCTGCCACATGGCACTGTTATTACCCTCGGTGTCCAAGTGGCAATACCACGGTGATCATTGCTGCCACATGGCGCTGTTATTACCCTCGGTGTCCAAGTAGCAATACCATGGTGATCATCGCTGCCACATGGCGCTGTTATTACCCTCGGTGTCCAAGTAGCAATACTACAGTGATCATCGTTGCGGCATGGCGCTGTTATTACCCTCGATGTCCAAGTGGCAATACCACGGTGATCATTGCTGCCACATGGCGCTGTTATTAGCCCCAGTATCATCATTGCCACTTAGAGCTGCCGGAGAATTGAAAGTTCAAATCACTCTCTATTCATGGAGATTTGCTGGAAATAGATTCATGAACTTATTGTTGTGATTTTCAGATCTATGCCAAGTTGTGGAAGGGGAAGAATGTCCTGGGCGTGTGTGTGGGCAGCTTCCACACTGTCGTGTACACCGCTGATGCTGTCTTCACATTTGGGCTCAATGCCGGCCAGCTGGGTCAGTCTGACAGACACAAACACATAGTCTTCTCCATCCTCGATAATCTCCAGGGTATACGTTACGATCACTCTCCACTATACCCTGGATGCATACACGGCTTCACGCTTGGCCCGATTATTTTATTACCTCCCTTTGCTGGCTCGTTATCCAATCAGGTGTCTACGCTGGAAGTTGAGCGAATCAATCACAACTCACTTTCGCTTCTTAAATTATCTAACCGTTTAAACTTGGCAACACAGTTGTTGCACAGGTATTCTGAAAGAGGTAGAAGGAGTTCTTTCATATATTTTTTTTAAAGTTTCACATCTGTCAATTTGTCTGTATTATAGCACTCAAAATCTGAGTCGCAACTGCGACCGCTATTTTTGTTGACACTGGCAAGCTCGGATGTAACGGCGGCTTCGCTGATTGGCTACTGTGAGAATGCGGAGCCAGCAAATGGAGGTAATATTATTATCGGGCATAGCCGTGGATGCATCCAGGGTATAGTGGAGAGTGATCGTAACGTATACCCTGGAGATTATCGAGGATGAGTCTTCTCAGATTATGGTGCATATTGAATAAATGAAAAGGCCATTGCTCTTGGTCAGTGTAGTTGTTCTTGCAGTGTTAGTATAGTGAGTATAGTTCCTGCAAGTGATGTTGCTGAAATGTAAGTGATGTTGCTGAAGTGTAAGTGATGTTGCTGAAATGTAAGTGATGTTGAAATGTAAGTGATGTTGCTGAAATGTAAGTGTTGCTGAAATGTAAGTGATGTTGCTGAAGTATAAGTGTTGTTGCTGAAGTGTAAGTGATGTTGCTGAAATGTAAGTGATGTTGCTGAAATGTAAGTGTTGCTGAAATGTAAGTGATGTTCCTGAAATGTAAGCTGAAATGTAAGTGTTGTTGCTGAAATGTAAGTGATGTTGCTGAAATGTAAGTTGCTGAAATATAAGTGATGTTGCTGAAGTGTAAGTGATGTTGCTGGAATGTAAGTGATGTTGCTGAAATGTAAGTGTTTGCTGAAATGTAAGTGATGTTGCTGAAATGTAAGTGATGTTGCTGAAATGTAAGTGTTTGCTGAAATGTAACTGATGTTGCTGAAATGTTTAGTGTTGTTGCTGAAATGTAAGTGATGTTGCTGAAATGTAAGTGTTGCTGAATGTAAGTGATGTTGCTGAAATGTAAGTGATGTTGCTGAAGTGTAAGTAATGTTGCTGAAATGTAAGTGATGTTGAAATGTAAGTGTTTCTGAAATGCAAGTGTTGTTGCTGAAATGTAAGTGTTGCTGAAATGTAAGTGATGTTGCTGAAATGTAAGTGTTTGCTGAAATGTAAGTGATGTTGCTGAAATGTAAGTGATGTTGTCTGAAATGTAAGTGTTGTTGCTGAAATGTAAGTGTTGTTTTGGCAGGTCACCAGAAGGGAGAGAAGCTGCAGAGCCAGCCCCGCCTGGTGTCTGCCCTCAGTCAGAAGGACATCACCATCAAGTCTGTCTCTTGCTCTGATGCTGCCACGGCCTGTCTCACCATGAAGGGGGACATCTTTGTTCTTCATGAATACCAGTGTCGCAGGATAATGTCAAAGTAAGGCATACAATTAACCAGGAATTACACCCGTGATTGGTGCAGGATGCTAAGGAACAAGTTTTAGTTTTTAACACTTTCTGTGTGACACTGTGGTTCTGCAACATCAGACTGGATTTGTCACTTTGTTGAGGAGAACAGGTGGCCCAGTGATCTCAGACATTACAATTGGATGTGTAGACTTTCATCTTGTTGCTGAGGTGAGTTTGAATCCCGGATTCACCTTGGAACCTTGGTCTCTCATCACCATACAAATGGTTGTATAGTTCAGTAAAGTGACATGCATCATTTGGGGCAATCATCCAAGTATAAATTGAGAATTGTGTGGCAGTCACAGAAATACAGCTGACAGCAGTGTTTATCCCAGTTCACACCATTAGGTTGACATACTCAGTTCATCTCTGCAATGTGTGTGCATGTCAGTCTTGTAGAGTGTTTTTTCTGTAAAAGCTGCATTGCCACTATAATGCCCTTGACTGGACGGACCAGGTGGTCGGACTCTGTGACCTGTGACCCCAGTGGCATGGCATGTTGCTCAGAATGTCAATCACTGGACTGTCTGGTCCATACTTGATTATACTGGTCACTGGTTCGCAACTGAAGTATTGCTGTATGATACGAGTAATGCTCTTTATCTTGTCTCACACATAAATGTCGTTTTCTATTATTTTCACTGTACCCCGCTTACTAGCGAGTAACATTTTCTATGCACCCCGCTGGGTAGTAGTCATTCTTTATCTCGAATAACTTTGAATCGTGTATGATGTATGGAAATTACCGTTGTTTTGCGAATGCAAATTGATGGAAGGAAGATTACTCTAAATTTGTTTTTCTTGTCTTGTCGTCTTGTACTCGATACTATGATCCGATACCCATGCTACAATTCAAAATTACCATTGAGGTGTTCGGTGAGATAAATATGTTGTTCACTGGTCCTTCAGGGCGCATGGGTTGATGTACCCTCAATGTTTCTTTATGTTCCCCTCGCCCTTCAGGTTCAGGGAACATAAACAAACATCGAGGGTACATCAGCCCCTGCCCCCCTCGAGACCAGTAACTAAATTAGAGTGTACAGATGGGGCGATGGGTAGCCTAGTGGTTAAAGCATTCGCTCGTCATGCCGAAGACCCGGGTTCAATTCCCCACATGGGTACAATGTTCGAAGCCAATTTCTGGTGTCCACCGCTGTGATAAATTGCTGGAATATTGGTGCATAAAACTAAACTCACTCACTGTGTACAGATGGGCAGTGGGTAGCCTCATGGTTAAATCGTGATATTGCTGGAATATTGCTAAAGGCGGCGTAAAACTAAACTCACTCACTGTGTACAGATGGTCAGTGGGTAGCCTCATGGTTAAATCGTGATATTGCTGGAATATTGCTAAAGGCGGCGTAAAACTGAATTCACTCACTGTGTACAGATGGGCAGTGGGTAGCCTCATGGTTAAATCGTGATATTGCTGGAATATTGCTAAAGGCGGCGTAAAACTAAACTCACTGTGTACAGATGGGCAATGGGTAGCCTCATGGTTAAATCGTGATATTGCTGGAATATTGCTAAAGGCGGCGTAAAACTAAACTCACTCACTGTGTACAGATGGGCAGTGGGTAGCCTCATGGTTAAATCGTGATATTGCTGGAATATTGCTAAAGGCGGCGTAAAACTAAACTCACTGTGTACAGATGGGAAGTGGGTAGCCTCATGGTTAAATCGTGATATTGCTGGAATATTGCTAAAGGCCGCGTAAAACTAAACTCACTCACTGTGTACAGATGGGAAGTGGGTAGCCTCATGGTTAAATCGTGATATTGCTGGAATATTGCCAAAGGCGGTGTAAAACTAAACTCACTGTGTACAGATGGGCAGTGGGTAGACTAGTGGTTAAATCGTGATATTGCTGGAATATTGCTAAAGGCGGCGTAAAACTAAACTCACTCACTGTGTACAGATGGGCAATGGGTAGCTTCATTGTTAAATCGTGATATTGCTGGAATATTGTTAAAGGCGGCGTAAAACTAAACTCACTCACTGTGTACAGATGGGCAATGGGTAGCCTAGTGGTTAAATCGTGATATTGCTTGAATATTGTTAAAGGCGGCGTAAAACTAAACTGACTCACTGTGTACAGATGGCTGGAGGTGGGCAAGGTCCTGATGCATGGAGGGAAACTGGACTACAATGCTGAGGAAGCAAGGCTGCGGGAGAAGGGGGGATCGGATCTCAGCATTGCACTGCTCTCTGCGTCCAACCAGGTACATAGTAGTACATTGTGAACATGATGTGACATGTCTCTGTAGTATGAAGGAGACAATATTGCTTGTCATTGTCAGTTTTTGAACAATTGATTGAACGGTTATCAATTGCGGCATGGGTGGCTGTTGTCATCTCAGGTCCCGCAGTTTGCTGAGTTGGGTTCATTGGGCATGCAGGAACCGTAGGGTTGTAGGTTTGAAGATTCTGCTTTGTTCATCATGCAACAATATGTTCTTTCTTGCAGATCTCTGTGATATCAGTGATTAATGTATGGAAAATGTGCTTACTCATGGTAGTTATCCTGAAATGCTTGTTACAACATGATAAATCTAACAAATATCCCACTGACAAAAAGTCAACTCACCTATACACACTGTATCTGTATTTTTATTATATGCTGTGTAGACATGATCCTCTTTTGACATGGGTACAATGTGTGAAGCCCATTTCTGGTTTCCCCTACCGTGATATTGCTGGAATATTGCTAACAGCAGCGTAAAACCATACTCGCTCTAATGACTCAGTCCTCTTTTGACAGGTGTTTATTTGGAGAGAGTCCAGCCCTATACTTCGTCGCTGTCAGTGGACCATCAAGCGACAGCTTTTTGTTGTTGATGTTGTGTTCAGTGATAAGACCGTAGCCTTCATCACAGAGGCTGGGGAGGGGTTCATGGGCTACTGGCCGGACACAAAATACCTGCCACAGAAGGAAGTTATCCCTCATAAGAGTAAGATATTGTTGTGTGTGTCATAGCTTAACTCTGGTAATAAGGTACTTGCCACACTATGTCGATGAGGACTACGATCATTTGATATTTATTTGTCCACATCTTAATTTAGTAGTCTTGACTTAAGTGAATTTCGAAGTCTTTGGCTCTGTATTCATTTCTAGCTGTTAAAGTGTGATGGAATAGCCTTGGCTAGTATGCTTATGGAAGGGACATCATAATACCATCATAAATACTGTATGTGAATACTGGAGTATTACTAAATGTGGCATAAACGATATATTTTCAGAAGTGACTGATGACTTTGAGAAGCCGACTCTGATTGACCTGATGCTGAAAGATGAGGTGGAGATGGTGCCTGTCAAGAGGATCCCCAATATGCATCGAGCCACCAAAATCTCTGCCGACCGCCGCAACAACAACTTGATGGTTCTGCAAGCTCTGCCTCATGGCTGGTAGGTCAACAGTTAAGGTAGTACATGGCTTGAAGGTCAACAGGGAGGGTAGGTCATGGTTTGTAGGTCAACAGAAAGGGTAGGATGTGGCTTATAGGTCAACAGGGAAGGGGTTTGTAGGTAGGACGTGGCTTGTAGGTCAACGGGGAGGGTAGGACATGGCTTGTAGGTCAACAGGGAGGGTAGGACATGGCTTGTATGTCAACAGGGAGAATAGGACATGGCTTGTAGGTCAACAGGGAGAATAGGACATGGCTTGTATGTCAACAGGGAGAATAGGACATGGCTAGTAGGTCAACAGGGGGGTAGGACATGCCTTGTATGTCAACAAGGAGAATAGGACATGGCTTGTAGGTCAACAGAGGGTAGGACATGCCTTGTATGTCAACAAGGAGAATAGGACATGGCTTGTAGGTCAACAGGGAGGGTAGGACATGGCTTGTAGGTCAACAGGGAGGGTAGGACATGGCTTGTAGGTCAACAGAGAGAATAGGACATGGCTTGTAGGTCAACAGGGAGGGTAGGACATGGCTTGTAAGTCAACAGGGAGAATAGGACATGGCTTGTAGGTCAACAGGGGGTAGGACATGGCTTGTAAGTCAACAGGGAGAATAGGACATGGTTTGTAGGTCAACAGAGAGGGTAGGACATGGAGTGTAGGTCAACAGGGAGGGTAGGACATGGTTTGTAGGTCAACAGAGAGGGTAGGACATGGAGTGTAGGTCAATAGGGAGGGTAAGACATGGTTTGTAGGTCAACAGAGAGGGTAGGACATGGCTTGTAGGTCAACAGGGAGGGTAGGACGTGGTTTGTAGGTCAACAGAGAGGGTAGGACATGGTTTGTAGGTCAACAGAGAGGGTTGGACATGGCTTGTATGTCAACAGGGAGGGTAGGACATGGTTTGTAGGTCAACAGAGATTGTAGGACATGGCTTGTAGGTCAACAGGGACGGTAGGACGTGGTTTGTAGATCAACAGGGAGGGTAGGACATGGTTTGTAGGTCAACAGGGAGGGTAGGACATGGTTTGTAGGTCAACAGGGAGGGTAGGACATGGAGTGTAGGTCAATAGAGAGTAGGACATGGCTGGTATGTCAACAAGGAGAATAGGACATGGCTTATAGGTCAACAGGGAGGGTAGGACATAGCTTGTAGGTCAACAGGGAGGGTAGGACATGGTTTGTAGGTCAACAAGGAGAATAGGACATGGCTTGTAGGTCAACAGAGAGGGTAGGACATGGCTTATAGGTCAACAGGAAGGGTAGGACATGACTTGTAGGTCAACAAGGGGGTAGGACATGGCTTTTAGGTCAACAGGGAGGGTAGGACAAGGCTTGTAGGTCAACAGGGAGGGTAGGACATGGTTTGTAGGTCAACATAGGGTAGGACATGGCTTGTAGGTCAACAGGGGGGTAAGACATGGCTTATAGGTCAACAGAGAGGGTAGGACATGGCTTGTAGGTCAACAGGGAGGGTAGGACATGGCTTGTAGGTCAACAGGGAGGGTAGGACATGGCTTATATGTCAACAGGGAGAATAGGGCATGGCTTGTAGGTCAACATGGAGGGTTTACATGTAAATATATGCTGGTGTATGAGATATGTGCATAGCATCTGTCTATATTCATGAGTGATGAGGGTAGTCCTTTACATAAACCTGTGAAGCATTGATGATCAGATGTCCATGATGTATTCTTTTGCAGCTTGTCGAACATTCCGTCTGTCAGCCATTCATGACGTCATTGTGCAGGTACTGTGACTAGTATGATGCTATATATTACATCATTGTGTAACTAATAAGACAAGTATGATGCTATACATGATGCCATTGTGCAGGTATTATCACAAGTATGACGCTATATACGATGATGTTGTACTGGTATTGTGACAAGTGTGACTGTTTATGACGTCATTGAGCAGGTATTGTAACCAATATGATGCTATATATGATGATGTTGTACTGGTATTGTGACAAGTGTGACTATTTATGACATCATTGAGCAGGTATTGTAACCAGTATGATGCTATATACGATGATGTTATACTGGTATTGTGACAAGTGTGACTATTTATGACATCATTGAGTAGGTATTGTAACCAGTATGATGCTATATACGATGATGTTATACTGGTATTGTGACAAGTGTGACTATGACATCATTGAGTAGGTATTGTGACCAGTATGATGCTATATACGATGATGTTATACTGGTATTGTGACAAGTGTGACTATTTATGACATCATTGAGCAGGTATTGTAACCAGTATGATGCTATATACGATGATGTTATACTGGTATTGTGACAAGTGTGACTATTCATTGATGACATATGATGCTATTGATGATGTTATATTTTGACCAGTATGATGCTATATACAATGACGTTATACTGGTATTGTGACAAGTGTGACTATTTATGACATCATTGAGCAGGTATTGTAACCAGTATGATGCTATATACGATGATGTTATACTGGTATTGTGACAAGTGTGACTATGACATCATTGAGCAGGTATTGTGACAAGTATGATGCTATATACGATGACGTTATACTGGTATTGTGACAAGTATGATCCAAGACATGATGTTGCTCACTCACTATTTGCAGGCAGGGAATCAGAGATGGCCATGTCACAAGTACATCCTAGTCTCAAAATGTGACTTTCTTCGAAACAAAGTACTTAGTTTGACAAACACGGAAGAGGAATTTTCTGATGAGGCACCTGTGATTTTTGTTCCATCTGTTCCCCCGGAGATCATGGAACAAGTCCTTCAGTACATCTACAACGACACTTGTGATCTACTTAAAGTTGGAACTAAGTTCAACCCAGTTATTGTCAAAGGTGAAGGTCAGGAAATAGGTCAAGGTGATGCTGACCTGAAGAAAGATAACTCAGATCTACTTATTTCTAAAAATCTGTCAAAAATGTCTGCATATGAAGTTCATCAAAAGAAGAAGAAATCTGTACAAAAGGAGAATACCGACCCACACAACACTGCTAAAAACCCAGTCCGATATTTACAAGAGGTTGCCAAAGAACTGGGTGTCAAAGGGCTTTCAAAAAGGTGGGTTAAATGTACAATAATGAGTTATAATTTCTTTGAATCTTTATGAAATTCTTATTTACAAATGTGTTCCTGGAAGCTAGTAAGATATTACTAATAAACATAACAATAAACTGTCGTAATGGCAACATATTTTTGCAGACTGGATGCAGTCAAGTATCTCAATGGCTGTGTACTGTCTGCTGGGAAATTCCTGTCTCCACCAAAGGTCAAGTTTGACCGCATGAAACTGTAAGTTAGGAGATCAGTATTGATAATTCTTGATGTAAGAGTACAAAGAAGTGACTGTGAATTGGTCTTCAGCAACGCATGGGTTGGATGGTCCTTCTCGCTGACTTGGTTGACACATGTCATTGTATATCAATTGCATAGATTTATGCTCATGCTGTTGATCACTGGATTGTCTGGTTCAGACCACTATGATATAGGTTGACTATTGCTGAGTGCGGTGTAAAGGAATAAAGTACAAAGAACTAGTTTTCCTTGACCACATGACTCCAGGTCATGGGATGTACAGGTTTGTTGATTCTGTCGTACATCTAGGTGACAGGACTTGGGAGCTTGGTCATAAGGAGTGACACATTGTTTGCATAATGCTTCAATATATTCGCCAGTATGCTCTATGTTGCATTGTGTGATGTTTCAGCTCTGAGCTGTGTGATGTGAGTATCGAGGCTGAGGATGGCACAACAATAAAGTGTCACAAGTGTGTGCTGGTGGCTAGACTAGAGTACTTCCACAGTATGCTGGGATGTGGCTGGATGGAGGTGAGGATGAGGGATGGGTTATGGAGATGAACAGAGGGGAGACACTGTGGGATACATGGATGAAGGGATGGGATATGGAGATGAAGAGAGGGAATACAGATATGAAGGGAGGGGATACAGCGATGAAGGGAGGGAATACATAGATGAAGGGAGGGGATACAGAGAAGGATACAGAGATGAAGGGAGGAGATGAAGGAGATGAAGGGAGGGAATACAGGGATGAAGGGAGGGTTACAGCGATGAAGGGAGGGGATACAGAGATGAAGAAAGGGAATACACAGATGAAGGGAGGGAATACACAAATGAAGGAGGGAATACATAGATGAAGGGAGAGATGAAGAGAGGGATACAGAGATGAAGGATACAGAGATGAAGGGAGGAGAAGATACAGAGATGAAGGGAGAGGGAATACACAGATGAAGGGAGGAAGATGAAGGGAGGGAATACACAGATGAAGGGAGGAATATACAGAGATGAAGAGAGGGAGGGATACAGAGATGAAGGGAGGGAATACAGAGATGAAGGGAGGGGATACAGAGAAGGATACAGAGATGAAGGGAGGAGATACAGAGATGAAGGTAGGGAATACAGAGATGAAGGGAGGGTTACAGTGATGAAGGGAGGGGATACAGAGATGAAGAAAAGGAATACACAGATGAAGGGAGGGAATACACAGATGAAGGGAGGGAATACATAGATGAAGGAGGGATACAGAGATGAAGAGGGAATACACAGATGAAGGGAGGGAATACACAGATGAAGGGAGGGAGTACAGGGATGAAGGGAGGGAGTACAGGGATGAAGGGAGGGAATACAGAGATGAAGGGAGGGAATACAGAGAAGAAGAAGTGTTGATGATATGGATCATGAATTGCTTTAACTTTAGGTTTGATCTTTCAGAAGATTTGAAAGAAACCTTTTACTTACTTAATTCTGTTTCAACTTGAAAACAGTAGCGTATTTCTGGCCTGTGTATATTTCAGACATCGGACACGACGTCCCTGACACTGCCTGTGCCAGGAGAGGTGCTGTCCATACTGCTGGACTACCTGTACAGTGATGAGTCTCAGGTCGTTACAGGTGTGTTCAGTCTCCACAGCGTTCCACAAGTGTTAAAGGAAGCATAAAGATATATAAAATTGCTGACATCATAGACCCATTATTTGATGTAGCTAACCACCAAATTATAATGTTTGTGCACTTCATTCAGTTTTTGAGTAGCAAGTGTGAGATATTTTCCTACGACAACTCATGTAGTCATCTTGAAGTCCTGTAACTGATCTCATGTGTTGCAGACTGCCAAAAGGTGGAGCTGTTGTGCAATGTGCTGGTGGTAGCTGATCAGCTCCTTGTTACGAGACTCAAGGAAATGTGTGAAGTGTCCCTGGCCAATCTCAGTGAGTTCACTGTTGCTATAATGTTTGCTTGTTCTTTACCAAGGTCCTTTTCCTCAATCTTAGTGATGAAATGCTTGTAACTCGCGTATTTTAACAGTCAGTGCACTAAGATGACCGTGACTCTAATACTTACGACATTCGGTGCACTAAGATGACCGTTACCCTCATACTTACGACATTTGGTGCACTAAGATAACCGTAACCCTCATACTTACGGCATTTGGTGCACTAAGATGACCGTGACTCATACTTACGACATTCGGTGCACTAAGATGTCCGTAACCCTCATACTTACGACATTTGGTGTACTAAGATGACCGTGACTCATACTTACGACATTCGGTTATTGTGTTTTCATACCTCCAGCACATCGATTGTTGCTCATGATATCAGTCACTGGGTTTCCTCGACCAGACTGAAAGATTGACAGACTGCTGTCGTGTAACTGGAACATTATTGAGTGACAACAAAAATGTAAACAACATGTGTCCCCCACACGTGACTCTGTGTCTACCATTTGTCTGTATGTTGTTGTAGTAACATTCCGCAATGTTGGGGACATCCTGGAGTTTGCATCCATGTACAACGCCACTCAGCTGAGGGCAACATGTCAGCAGTTTATCTCCCTTAACTTGGCAGCTCTCCTGGAAGGAAGGTTCGTTGTTCACAATTTCTCTCTCTCTGTGTCATGTTTGGACTATTAACCTAGAATGCATTGCCCCACATAATTACACCATATACTGCCAGGAAACTGATAAAATTGAACCGTTTATAATTGTTTTGACAAAACAATAGGTTATCTACCAGTAGCAGTTGATCATGAATCGGAATAGAATAGAAATTTTACATCAGTTATTCTGTTATTGTTATTCTGTGCATCTTTTACATAATGAGAAGTAAAAGCATAAAGTTCTGTTTCACTTTACTCAACAATGTGTTTGGTAAAATTGACTCAAGACCGTCAAGACCATGTTATCTATCTTGTGCTATATTGTTGCTGCTATTTAGGTATCTGGATGTGCTGAGTGAAGACACTATGGGGGAGCTAAAGGCGTACTACCGAGACAAGGTGAGACTGGGATCATCTCACTGTGGTCTCTTGCCATGCATGTATCTAATAACAAGCTGTGTTTGTTGTACGACATGACAAAATGGATCAGGCAATCAGGCTGGGTGCCATGTTCTTGTACCAAAACAGTTGATCGTAATGTCACTCACTGGTTTGTCCAGTCCAGACTTGATTATTTACTCGCAGCCATATATAGCTGGAATATTGCAGACTGAGGCAAAATGCAATTCAAGTTCACTTTGTCTGTTTCTAAATTCTATTTCAAACTCTGAAATCACCATATATAGAGTTTCAGGCCTTGTGTAAACATGTGCCATCATGAAACTTCTCTGATGTCAAGTCTTCTACATGCCATGGTCCTGAATGAGTGAGTGAGTTTAGTTTTACGCCGCATTTAGCAATATTCCAGCCATTTCATGGCGGGGGACACCAGAAATGGGCTTCACACATTGTACTCATGTGGGAAATCGAACCCGGGTCTTCGGCCTGAAGAGCAAATGCTTTCACCGTCAGGCTAGCCCCTGTGGTCCTGAAACTGCTAATAGTAGCCACATAGGCCAAAGAGGCTATTGACCCCCAGGAACTATTGCTCAGAACCCCCATACAGTAGTCAGATTCACCCATGTAGTCCCTCGGGCCTTCTTCTACCATTACCTGCTGTGAGATCAGTGAAATACCATTGTAAGGTATATTTTCAAACCTTCATCTCCACAGCTGTCTTGCATGTGTAGGAGACTGATCACCCCGTACAGTGGTGCTCCAGAGAGGGACTACCTAGAAACTCTGGCAGCCAAGTACCAGGATGAGGATGACAAGCCCAGCCTGGACCTTTCATCAAAGAAACACAAAAATAAAAAAAGACGCAGCCGGACTAAAAGCACAAGTGATGACACAGACAAGGGCAGATCTGGTGATTTCCACTCTCGCGGAGACCGACATTTCTCAATCAGCTCAGATATAAGTGTGGAGGAAGAACGAGATGAAGAAGAACAGGACCATCCTGAGGAGAAAACACCAGAAGCTACACCTGTAAGTAAAGCATAGTTGAGTTGTGAAGGGTATTTAGTTGTATGTCATAAAACATACCTGCCAAAAGAGAAGTGAGGTTAGAACCCAGTCATTCTCCTGTGTAGGGTTATTGATTTGAAGGCAGCTGCTCATCCTTATGTTATTCTCCAGAGTGGTCAATTCTATTTTATTCATTGCCTGTATCTTGTGTATCTGACTAAAGTGTTCATATATTTTTCAGATGAAACCAGTAGATCATCCCACCCCTAGTACCAATATCCCTGTACCTGTGAGAGGGAAAGATAATCCCTGGGGGTGCAGCAGTCCCTCTTCCCCCAGGGGAATTTGGGGAGCAAGCTCTCCCCCACCCCTGGAGCCCTCACCCCAGAGCCCCACCGGTGGGGTCAGCCTCCGGGACATCATGAGTCAACAGAAGGTCCAGTTGAGACACAGCACAGAGAAGAGGTGAGTGTCCTGTCCATGCTTCTGTCCTCAGCATTGAGTCAGGGTGGTAGGGTAGCCTTGTGAGTGAAGCATTCGCTGAGGTCAATTCCCAATATGGGTACAATGTGTGAAACCCATTTCTGGTGTCCCCACCTTGTTATGGCTGGAATATTGCTAAAAGCGGCATAAAACACAACTCATTCACCCCCAACCCCCCTACTTGTCAACCTGTCAGATGCTTGTCATTTAGGGGATAGAAAAAGGACTGGTTGGCTTGCATTCAGTATACTGTGTCTGAGTACTGTGTCCATGTTGAACTATGACATGATATCTCAATGGCACTATAAGTAATCTTTTCATAAATCCAGACTAGTACATGTGGGAGAAATACGCAAGTATGCGCTCACACACAGAAACACTCGTCCTCATGCAAACATTGTTATATAAATACTATGAAAACAATGTTAAATCCCATTTCACGTCAGGAGTATACTTGCATGTTAATCTGTTGACACTGTATTGTGAGTTGAAGGAACTAAGAGGTAATGATTGCCGTATCGTCGATGTCAAGAGGCTGACAGCATTGACGAGCTGTGACAGACATCATTAAATATTACTTCAGCACCAGTGATGAAACGTGATGTTTTTCTGCATTAGGGCCCCTGGAGGGAAGGTGTCATGGAAGGAGGTCAAGAAGCAGCAGAACAAGGCTGCACAGAACATTGCGGCTCAGAAAGAGGCAGCATCACCAACATCACCAACATCACCAGCGTCAGCCAAACAAAATGCATGTCCATGGTAAGATGCCAGATTGCTTTTCAGAAGGGGAAGTATATATATAGTTAAAGAAATATATGAGGCACATGGTTCTTGTAGTTTTGATTGGTTATTGTGTGAAGCCCATTCCTGGTGTCCCCAGCCATGATATTGCTGGAATATTAATATTTCCTTATCCTGACTCATGCTAAATGCTTGTCTCCTTCTCCTTGCGAATGATAGCGGAACACTTGAAATCCCTTGAAGTTCCCTTCTAAAAAGCGGACGTAAAATCACTACTCACCCAGGAGTTGCCTCCCTTGCCCCTTTGGCGCCCTTTTGGTCACCTGACCGACCATGCCTTGTCACTCTCTCCTTCTTCGCCCTTGAGGACGGTTGCGAGCTCACCTGGGTCCCTATACGGCACATATCCTTTTCTATTTTGGACCTTACATCAAAATTATTGCTGTATACGGCTTTTAGGATTGTATTCTACTAATGGTTTGAAATTTGATCTAAATTATACATTGTTTGACATGTTTTTTTATCGTGTTTACATTTGATGAAAACTTGTGTTCGTTGTAGGTACCGACTGTCTGCGGCTGACCCACATTTATTATGTCCTGATTGCACTACTTCATGTTCTTTCAGCTCTCGCTGTAAACATTGTCTGGATTTAACCACTTTTGAATTTAATAACTACCTTTTTTCCATTCATAGACGTGCAAAGGACTGGGTAAGAAGGTATTCACAAGTCATGTCTAAATCGAGTGATTGCGCTGATAACCGTGTGTTAACTACTGCTGCCGATGTTCATAATTCCAGTGAATTGCCGAGCGTTTTACGGGGGCAGGTCGCTGTGCCAGTGATGAACCCTGGAGCTAATAAGAGATCATCATCAACGGAGCTGACCTCTTCGCAGACTGAAGAAGACTAGATCTTCAACGCAGAAGAAGAAGGCTACTACCCCTAAGACTTCATGGAAGTCTCTACACAGCTCTACGCAGAAGACGAGATCCTTCTCTGCCGAGATTGTACCTCCAGAAGAAGCAGACGTGTATGATGATCCCCCCATCCTCATACCTGAAGTCACAGTCGTCAGCAAGAAGACAGAGCCTGCTTCTACATCTACATCGGCAACTTTATCAGCGCAGACATTGACAGAAGACCTTCTATCAACGCAGACATCAGGTACCAGAGACAGCAGCAGCGTCAACTCTTCACAAGTGCAGCGTGCCTTAGAAGACGCCTCATCGTTGTCAGAAGCATCATCATCCCTGCAGCAGTCTCTTCAGACATCGCAGAACTTCAACCCGGACTGTTCATGCAACAGTTTACAGACCAGATGATGTCGATGATGGAACGTCGCTTCGCGCAGGAGAAAGCTGCTACGAAGACCACTACGATGACTACTAGCCTGCGTGAAGATTCAGCAGTCTCTCCAACGCACTTGGAAGAAGAGGGAAGCCTGCGTGAAGGCTCACGCACCCGACGATCTTCCCCATCTGAAGTTAGGAGCCTGGACAACACTACCAACGCCAGCTCAGCCTTAGACGTCCCTGAAGGAACCGCTAAGGATTCTCCATGCAGAAGCAGGTCGAAGCGTTCTCCCAAACCCTACAGACGTCATAGATACGGGTCGTCATCACCATCGGACTCAGACGCACATCGGGAACCTGCGCAGGGCACTCCACATCTTACAGAGGGGAGACTACGTCTAAGAATCAACCTTCACGAAGGCCTAGAGAAACATCTCAAGACTCCAGGAAGGATACACGATCACATCGGGATCGTTCACCTGCGCGCAGTTCGTCATACAGATCTTCACACAGAGACTCACGTCGTCGTGGATCATCAGAGCGGGAGATGTCTAAATCAGAGGAAGAAGGTGAAGTCATATTCTCCGATACGGAAGTAACCTCATGGATTGCTAATGGCCTGGACCTAGCATCACCTTCCAAGGACACAGACGAAGCGTTTACATACAAGATGTCCAACGATGATTTCGACACACTCACCTTTCCGCCTATCGACCCGATCTCCCAAGTACCGGACAGTCTCAGCTCAGCCTTTGATAAGGCTACCAAGTTCCAGAATCAGCATATCCCGACGTTCAACGCCAGGAAATTCCCCTTACATCACATGGAACCCTTCCTGAAGGCACCAGAGATTGATGAGGACTACAAGATCATCAACGACTCCCGCTATAGAACTTACAAGATAGAGGACAAGAAGCTAGCGCAACTGGATACGACTACTAGACGTACCTTCTTCGGACTAGCCAGATCTAGGGCTATCAACGAAGCACTCATCTCGAAGTTCAAGAACTCCACCGACGAAGATGACCGGATGATATATTCTGCGCTACTGACTCAGAAAAAGGACCACCAATTTATGTCGGAGCATCTAGCATCCACATCAGCGGGCCTGACTCTCCTGAGGAGACAAGGATTATTGTCATCGTGCACCTGGAGTGAGCGGTTCACCAAGTCCTTATACAGAGCCCCATGGTCAGCATCATCCATCTTCGGAGGAGGATTGAAGAAGTCGCCAAAGAGGTTACACACGAATCAAGGGAGGTCATGATGATAAAGTCCATAGATACCTTGGCAAATGTGATTCGCCAGACGTCCCAGCGCTACTCCAACAAATCCAAGTTTGCAGGAGTCCAGAGAGCCAGAGAAAAGAAGTATTCCAGCTCAAGAGGAGGAAGAGGTTCTTTTCGTCGCCCAACCGGAGTCCCCAGAAGTAACCCCGGAAGAGGCCGAGCACCCAGGGGTGCCAGGGGAACCAAGCGCTGAAGGACAGGTTTGGAACGACTGGAGTCTTCCACCCCCAGCCGTTCCTGTACAACCTTCGACAGTGGGTGGACGTCTTCAACGGTACTGGGAGAATTGGGGAATACTACAGGACGACTACGTATCCCAGATACTACGCAGAGGGTACAAGATACAGTTGGAAGCCACCCCGCCGCTTACAAGCAACCCGATGGCCTTCAGATACGCAGCCGACCAGACAGAGAAACTGGACGATGCAATCAAGACTCTACTCGACAAAGATGCAGTAGAAGAGATAAATCAAGATCTCATCATGCCGGTTTTACTCCCCAATTTTCCTGGTACCGAAGAAGAATTCCAAGGAGAAGTTTCGGCTCATCTACAACATGAGGAAGTTCAACCAGGAGTACCTTTGCAGACCAGCAAAATTCAAGATGATACATCTTCCTCAGCTCCGACATCTCGTTCGTCCATCAGACTACCTCGCCAGCATAGATCTACAAGATGCGTACCTACACATCCCGATACATCCAGACTCAAGGAAATACCTAAGATTCCTTTTCAACGGACATCACTTCCAGTGGAAGGTTCTACCGTTTGGAATATCGTCGGCCCCCTGGTTGTTTACTCGAGTGACCAAGCCCATCGTCACATATCTACATCGTCGAGGTCTACGCAGTGCTTTTACCTGGACGACGGAATTCAAGTTCATCAAGATCCCAGTCAACTCAGACTGCAACTAGACTTCACCATCAGGCTTCTCACTCAGTTAGGATGGCTGGTAAATCTCCTCAAGTCGGAACTGGAGCCGAAACAGGATCTTCAATTTCTAGGAATACGACTCATCACGCCGGTGAATCGCATAGTCGTCCCAGAGGATCGTTGGGTCAAGATACAACATATGATATCTCAAGCAATGCTCTCTCCGTTGACACTACGTGCTTGGCAAAGCATGCTCGGTCTACTCACCTCAGCTCAAGACATGACTCGCAGAGGGAGATTACAACTGCACCCACTACAAATATTTGTGAACGCCCATCTCGACAGTCTGGATCCGCTGATTCTACCGGACAGCCTGAAACCATACCTCTTATGGTGGACTCGGAAGTCGAATGTTTGCGGAGGAACCTTTTTGTCAGAGCCGGTTTGCAACACTCATCTCTACGTAGATGCATCACTACAAGGATGGGGTGCCCACCTCGACAACGAAGTGGCAGCAGGGAAGTGGTCGAGTCAGGATCAGAGTCTGCACATCAACCTGTTGGAGATGAAAGCAGTGATCAACGCTTTACAACACTGGTCCAGCGTACTAAAGAACGCAAGGCTCATGGTCCACACGGACAACTCCACAGTAGCGTTCTACATCAACAAACAAGGATCAACAAGATCAACAAGTCTGCTACAACTCAGCTTTCTCCTGTTCAGCATCGTCGACGACCTGAACATCTACATGAAGGCATGCCACATTCCAGCAGCAAAGAATGTCATAGCAGATGCCTTGTCTCGTCCACTTCAACCATCCCCGACGGAGTGGATGTTACACCCAGAAGCGTTCCGGTTCGTCATACGGACAACAGGATCTCCATTGATAGACCTGTTTGCAACAAAGTTCAACAAGCAACTACCAATATTCGTCTCTCCGATTCCGGATCCTCAGGCATGGGCAACAGATGCTTTAAGCATCTCATGGGAAGGACTAAACGCTTATGCGTTTCCACCTCCAGCACTACTACCACAAGTAATACAGAAAATCAAGCAGATGATAACGCTGCAACTGATTTTGATCGCAAGGGTATGGTTTCCCGTCCTCATACAAGAACTGGGAAATCCAACCCTGAAACTACCAGAGTGGTCAAACCTGCTCGTCCATCCACACACCAAGCAAGCAAGCTCACGGGAATCCGGCATCGTTCCAGCTACACGCGTGGAACGTATCAAAGCTTGCCTGAAGACTAGAGGGTACTCCACCAGAGCAGTGAAAGCAGTAACACTAGCTCTACGCAGATCAACTCACAACTTGTACGACGACAAGTGGCAGAGATTTGAACAGTATGCAAAGAGGAAAGGTTTTACAGCGGTAAAAGCAACCCATCCTCAAGTGGCGGAATACCTGTGTCATCTGCGACAGATTAGACACTTAAAAGGTTCAACACTCTCAACGTACCTGGCTGCTCTCAGCACAGTTATCACCATGAAGACGGGTGTCAAGCTGACCAAAGTACCAGAGATACTGGCACTACTACGCTTGTTCAAGTTGGAAGACCAACAAAAGAAATTCAAGGCTCCTGCCTGGGATCTCAACATAGTTCTACAACATCTCACCAGTGATGCCTACGAGCCTCTAGAACGGACATCCTTTGAACTACTGACTCAGAAAACGCTGTTTCTGATCGCCCTAGCAACAGCAGCACGGATGTCAGAAATACATGCTCTGGACTTCGAAAACGAACACGATTTGAATCAAGACATCGTGACATCGTAGATCTAGGACTGTATTGCCAAGAACCAACTGCCCAGCCAGCCTGACAGACAGTTCCACATGCCAGCACTCTCTACAGTCCTTGGGCCACAGGATACACAGGATCTATCCTTATGCCCTGTCAGAGCACTAAAAGTCTACCTACAAAGGACAAAAACAAGGAGACAAAACATTCAAGCGCCTATTCATCCCCTTATCTACTGAGACGCCCACGAAGTCTCACGGGTAGTAGTGAGTTTACGTCCGCTTTTTAGAAGGGAACTTCAAGGGATTTCAAGTGTTTCACTATCATTCGCAAGAAGAAGGAGACAAGCATTTATCATGAGTCAGGATAAGTATAAAATATCAATTTTAGTCAGAAAATTACATTTTTATAGCTGTAACACTGTCCAAGTGTCTTTACTAACACAGCTTGATAAACCAGGTGAGGAATATAGATCAGAAAAGCATCCATTGTTGACGTAAGAGTCGATAACAATGTTGTCTTGGGGTTAATGATGTGTTTCCTAATGTCTGTGTTGTCCTGTAGGGGATCGGTGAGCAAAGTGGTGCAGTCATTCAGAGACCTGCTGCTGGAAGACAAGACACCCCCGGGGAGCAGTAACAACGCAGCCACCATGAGGACAACTGCCAAACCCACATCTGCACCAAGGAAACCTGCCGCGTCAGGAGAACACCTAAGGTGAGCTGGTTACTTTTGTTATGTTTACTTCTAACAGCACTGATTTACAGTTCAAACTAATAAGTCACTTGTTCTTGTTTGTGTTCTCTTCTCATTGATTTTGCAATTTGTTCAAAGGAGAAGAATTATTTTCTTTCACATAGCAAGTTGTGTTTTCACTGTTTTATTAAAACAAACATTGCAGCTGGGGACTACCATCCCGAAAGGCTTCTCGATCGCTCCCCTCAAGCCAATCTGAACCAGTGGCCATCCCAGTCATGCCCACCAATCCCTGGCTGATGACTGAAGCCAGCAGTCCCCCTGCCTCGGGTGTCTCGTTCTCAGACATCTTACGTGATGAGCAGGCAAGGAAGAAAACCTTGGACTATGCCAGCAAGAAGCCTCTTAATATGATCCAGGTAGAGTTGCTACGGTTATAATCTTTCTCATCAGCTGTGTACTTCAAGCTCTTTTACTATGCTGGAAGTTATTGGTTTCTCATGAGGTGAATAAGGTTCGATGTATCGTCCATGTCAATATACTCTCTCTTACCTTGAGTCTAAACTGGAAAAACTGTGTATTGCAGATCGTGTATGACACAGTCTGTGTTATGTTGCAGATCGTGTATGACACAGCCTGTGTTATGTTGCAGATCGTGTATGACACAGCCTGTGTTATGTTGCAGATCATGTATGACAGCCTGTGTGTTTTGTTACAGATTGTGTATGACACAGCCTGTGTTATGTTGCAGATTGTGTATGACAGCCTGTGTTATGTTGCAGATCGTGTATGACACAGCCTGTGTTATGTTGCAGATCGTGTATGACACAGCCTTTCTCTTGTGTTGCAGATAGAGGAGCAGGCCATCCAGGAGCTGCTGCTGCAGTACAAGGTGAACCAGGATGAGTACATCACCGTGGAGCGAGTCTCCCAGGCTGCTGCTGCTCCCTTGTGGTCTGTCAGTAAACAGAGACCCAATCAGGCCAAGTTCTGAGTCAGTCGTCGTGAACAACAACACTACAGGCCAGAACCGACAAGCCAACTTCAACAACAAGACAACTACATCTAGGTCATCAACTCCTGACTGACCAAGAACAGCTGGAGACGAACCAAATCATGATGCCATTAAAAAACACTGAATGACATCAGCGAAAACGCAGGAGTCCAACAAATTTAACACCTGTTGATGAAAAAGGCAGTGCAGTGTGGCTCTGACATCATCAGCCAGATACAACTGTCACTTTAGACACATGTTTAATTACAGTGGTGGTATAAACATTGTCCTATTACTATCGAACTTCAACCTCTGGTTAAAGGAAAGATGAAAGGGGCCTTGCCTGTCTATGCCTGACCACTTAAAAAACTTACTCTTCATGTGATTAATTTTGTTTAAATAATGAAATTGATATGGTAGTGGGTTTTTGAAGATATACATGATTTCATTTTGGAATTTTTGTCAGCTGTACATATTGTGAAGTGTGTACAGCATGTTGAGAGCTCCTACTGATGTGACATGTAGTAGCAGCATATGAAGATTAATCAGCTCTACCTGAAACATTAACCCCTGTCATTAACAGGTACATTGCTTTGTTCAGCAGCAGAGTTGTGTCCCTTGGGTGTAATTGGAACATGTGACCAAATTCTGGTTACTCCTGACAATAAGAAAGTAAGATTCTTTATGGATAACAACTTCTTTATTATTTATGATGCAACGTTTCGGTATGGATTCTTATACAAGCAAGATCACAGAATATGAGCGCAAGATTACTCCTGACAGTGTTTCCAGGTTTTATGTTTCTAGGTTCGTTAGCACCAAAACTGTAGCTGGTTTTCACCTAAGTATTAACCCTTTAACCCCTTCATCAGTTTTATCCTTACACTCACATCAGTATGACAAGGTGTGATAACAACTAAAAACTTAACTAAAATTCACTCACTCTGGCAATCGTGTTATGAGATTTAGGCAGGGAAATATGTTCATGTTACTCATCTGTTCTGTTGAAGATACCACTGTTCAGTAACAAGAAGTTGGTATTACACAGTATTTTACTCAGCAAGTAGTAAATAAAATGCTAATGTACGAAGCGCCGTGAGCAGGCAATGTGCCTGGATGTTAGCGCCATATGAGTGGACTATTACTATTACTAATTAATGAATAAGAATAAATATTTGATAAATTGTGTGAATGAGTGAGTTTAGTTTAACGCCGCACTCAGCAATATTCCACCTATATGGCAGTTGTCTGTAAATAATTGAGTCTGGACCAGACAATCCAGTGATCAACAACATGAACGTTGATCTACGCAATTGGGACACGGGGACATGTGTCAACCAAGTCAGCGAGCCTGATGACTCGATCCTGTTAGTCGCCTCTTACTGCAAGCATGGGTTACTGAATATCAGTTCTAACGCAGATCTTCTCGGGTATAATTAATCAATAAGTGTAAATAATTAATAAATATATATTTACCATGTAATACCAATTTTAGGAAGTCATGAATAGTTCTGTTATCTGAACTGCTTACATTTGTCAGATACCGGGACTTATTCTCTTGTTTCATTAAGTTGGTACTAAACAGGGGCTTGTTGGTATTCCATGTGTATAGTTTGGGTTTGATATTGTTCATATTGTTGCACCGTCTACAACAGTTATACACAGTGAGGCACGTCTTCACTTCCTTTTTTCAGTGTTTGTTTTGGAAGTGGGAAAACACTTACAGAGGGCGACGATTGCATGCATTGTTCTTCCATTCCTTCGACTTGTACCTTTTCTTTGGAAGAGGGATAGTTACCTCAGTGTACATATAACAGATGGTGCTGGTTTCATGAGATTTTGTATATTTTATTATAAATGTCATGATATCACTGTACAGTTCCCACCCATCGGCAATATGTATCCATGAATTGATTTCTAAGATTGTTGTGATTCTGTGTGAGGTAACATTCTGCTGACCCCCAACTTCATGTAATATTTGTACCAGCTGTGTACACTAATGTCTCAAGAGGTCTTAAATTGGCAAGCATTCTTATCTGTTGTAACATCATTGCTATAGTGAGGTCATGTAACAAAAACGTCTGTATTTCTTGACAATGGTGTTTGTGTTAAAGGGGCGGTGGGGTAACCTAATGGTTAAAGCGTCGGCTCGTCACGCCGAAGACCCAGGTTCGAATCCCCACATGGGTCCAATGTGTGAAGCCCATTTCTGGTGTCCCCCGCCGTGATGTTGCTGGAATATTGCTAAAAGCGGCGTAAAACCAAACTCAGTCAGTCAGTTTGTGTTAAAATGTCTGTATTTCTTGACAATGGTGTTTGTGTTCCATCAAGAATGTTCTATTGTGCATGACACAATCATTGCCAATAAGCTTCATATGGAAGTTTACTTGCCAACTTTGGACTGTATTGAAATGAAATGTAACATTGATTATTGTAGCAATGTAATCAATTTTAACTCATTGAAAATAGTGTAACTTCTAGTCAGGGTAGACAGAAGATGTTAGCTTCTGTGAGGGGGACTGTGTGTACATAGTGTAGTGTGTGAGTTGAGTGAATTATTTATGACTTGGTGCGTGTGTTGTGGTAGGTATCAACTGCCATCATGTTTACAAACAGCATTGTATTCTGAACATGTTGAAAAGTTAAATAGGGATTATAAGTGGGCCATTTGGCAGTCCTAGCCACTGATTCAAGCCATTCAGTCAAATAGGTAGTTACCTAAACTACTCATACACAATGTATCAGATTCCCAAAAGATGCAAATATCAGCACAAGACAAGACATGGACCTTTACAGCTGAGAATTGTCAATAACGTATAAATTATAGAATTATGTAAATAATTGTACATTATCTCATCACAAAGCATTTGCAAAAAGCATAAATATGGTAGACTCAAGCTCCAAGATGGGTGCATACCAAGAACATCAGAATAGGTGGTGGAACATCGAAATAAACATTCTCTGGAATCAAGAATTTAATTTCTTCCTTCTGTTGTCATGAATAACCTGGACCTATTCTCCACCATACGTTTGGTTTTTGACCTAATATAAATGACATGATGTTGAGAATAACATCCAACCAAATTACTCACATGACCAACGGAAATTCCGTGCTGAGACCGAGACCGGGAATAATGAGATTGTGATCTGTTGTATGTGTGAGGAATGGCGACACTAGACAACTTAAGATTGCAAATTGTTACTTTTTGGTGTGCTGTGGATGCAGTTTTCATGACTTCACAATTTGAAGCTGTCATTTATTGAATGAACTCTGAATGGGGTTGTCCAGTTGAGCATGTTGTATATATATGTAAATACTTGTAAACTGATACTGTTTGTACATACACTCTTGCCATGTCCATTGAGGTTGTGGTTGCAGCATTCTCCACCAAAGTTTGTGATTACTCGTAGTTGTCAGATTTGTTTGTTGTGTTTATCGGTATTGATAGATGACAACATTTGTTAATGGCAGCGGTTCCTGTAAGCCGTCTTCATGTCAGTCCAGACTTAAATATATTTATGATTATGTGTTATATTGGCTGAATGATGTGCCAAAAAAGATGTAAATCTGTCACAGGTAGGTCCTCATTGAACATTCTGTGTATGACTGCTATTTAGGATCTGTTTATGGTCATATTTAATGCTATATTCCTGGCCACAACAAACCAATCACATCAAAGTTGTTATTGAGGAAATATTTCTCCATGTACATTTTGTGCCATTTAAGATGATGCAATATTGCAAATTTTTGTGCGCAGGTAAGTTTTGGTCAGGGCTGGCAAGTTTTACATCTAACCAGCCCTGTGGTCTCGCTGAAATTTTGGGGAGTTTCGTACCCTGATTTTCAGAATTATCAATGAATTTTGTTGTTGGAACCCCAAAGCTGAATTTGAAAGTCATTGAAAGTGCTCAAGTATACTCTCCAAAAAAATAGTAACGCAAAAGTGGTTTTCAGACGTACTTTGTGTATCATATAGATAATCAACAGACTGTTATACATTGTTCAAATGTCTTTGTCATTGTCACTTGGTTTCATCATGGCACACATGAAACAATCAAATGTCAAGGTGAAGGTCATCTGTCCTCAGTATCTTGTATAGCCCCCATGAGAGTGTTCACCCACAATTCCCACAGTGCTTGTGCCAACTGTAGTGGTTCTTTGGCAGTTGCTAATGTGATCAAAGATGTTGATCAAGATTATCCCATAAATGTTCAATGGGATTTAGATCTAGAGACCGCAAGGACCAATGGGCAGTACTTGCACATTGTGGTTCCTCAAAAAGTCTGTTGTGCGTTTTGCGGTGTGAGGTCAGGCGTGGTCAATTTCAAAAATGCCTTTTCTTGTTACATGTGGCTGAAGAATTTCATCTATGTAACATTGTGCTGTTGAACTGTCCTCGATGTGTACTAAGTCGGTTCTACCAGTGTGGGAGATGGCGACCCACATCATTTTTGTTGTAGTTTGGGGAAACAGTGAGATTTAGACAACCAACCAATCCTTTGTTAGAATTCATAATGTGCAATTATATTCGAAATACAATTATTTTAGATTTAGGCATCCAGTCGTTTCTTTGTTAGAATTTGCCATAAATGATTATGTTGGACATACAATTAAAAGAGATTTAGTGCTTAGAATGATACGTATTGTACTTATCACGTGTCATGTCATGGATTGCGGTATTTGGATGTGCTGCGCTGTTAATATTCAGTGCTGATGTCATCCCATTGTCATATATTTTACTTGTATTGTTCATCCTTGCCTGCCTCTGTCCTTCCTGTTCCACTCAGTTCTTTAGGGCAAGACCATTTCATATTTGAGGGGTTTTCCCCAGAACATCCAGCAAGTTCTATTTTTGGGAAAGATTAATTGAAAGATACATACCATCCCAAGCATCATTCAGAGCCCAGTTCCACAAAGCAATTGCAGTGTAACGACAGCCATAAGTCTATGTCAAAGTATGGCAGTTACGATCATCTTAGCGCAAAGATGGCTTTGTGGGACAGACCCCAAAATGTGAAATAGACAGGCCTTTACAGTGGATCGACTGTACATGATAGCCAGATTTGTTGATTGTTGGGTATGCACAATAATGTTATTTTGTTGAAGAAATAAATTTGTGAAATATGATTTGGTGTCGTTTCCATTTCCTTTTCCACCATGACATCACAGCTATACTGGTGCGCTGGAGTAGCCTTGTGGTTAAAGTGTTCACTTGTCACAGTGAAGGCCCAGGTTCGATTCCTCACATGGGTACAATGTGTCTGATGTCCCTCTGGGATATCTCTGGAACTGTGCTAATAGTGACATAAAACCCAACTGCCTCACTCACACAACTGTACTTTTTGTTGTAGTAATGATACACATTTACGTCCAGTTCTGGAAACAGTGAAAGTGTCAGATTGTGATACCCAAAAGCCACACAGTCTGATATAGTTCATGTAATGATTACATCTTGGAATATCTGGAAAGATTTCCGCCTGTAATCCCCGTTGTTGTTGTTTTTATCATTCTAAGAATACTAAGAATCTTAAGATACCTAAGAATAGATGGTTTTTATAAAAGCTTCTACCTCTACCCCTACGCTAAACCTAACCCTAACCCTAACCCCTCAGTAATGCGTGGGGTTAGGGCGGAACTCTTGCCGAATATCCATTTTGTAGTGCTGGCTTGAGAATGCACAAGTAAACTATATAGTTCAATGAAGGTTTTACAATTATAATGTAAACATTCCCTCTGGATTATGGGAGCCTTTATTCCTGTGGTTACACTGACACATACAGAAATTCAATGAAATTTTAAAGCACTAAGTCATAGCTATTCCTAGTGGTATGCCTATCTAACCCCCGAGTTACCTCCCTTGATCCCGACGTCACTGTATTGTTGATCTAACACCCTTCATAATTTTTCTATATGGTCAACACACAAGACGTGTAGAGAAGTCAGTGAAATGTTTTCGTTATTCAAGTCTTCAATTCTTCCTCATAATAGGTCCATCACATCGCATTCCATATTAAGTGCAATTAGCATTC